CAGGGCTTGGTACGCCGGCCTCACGTTGGGTGGCCCTTGGTCCACAACAATCCATGCCCGGCGCACCCGTTCCGGTCACGCGGAGGCTTCCTCGTGTCCAACGGGGAGCCAGCCGGTTGTTGGTCGTCGGTTGCCTCATCTCTATTTCCCGAGAAGGAAGGTGGACGTGTTGAGACGATAGCGCCAGTGCTGTGACAAGGCGACGGGGGTGTCATACCCTCGGGGGATGACCGATCATCACCAAGTGGCAGTGCGGTCTCGTCTCATGCAAGCCGTCGGACTTCTGTGGCACTCCTGATAACCTCCACTGCAAGCGATAGGCTCGATTGCCCCTGGACCTTGTCAAATCTGCCTTGGCCGCGATCATGAGACGGATCTAGAGCTGGCTGAACTGCCCGAATGGAACATGAGGGTGTGCTGGCCGCATAAGGGGGATGGAGAGAATTTCCACGGCAAGATGCGTTATGACTCAAACTGCAACAGCGAGGGGTAGTGATGGTGTCATTCTTGCCGAGGATTGCCAGGCATGCTCGGGGATGACGCGTTCGTCTTCGATTACGATGCTCGAGCGCCCGGATAGAATCGCTTCCGGGCGATGCCATCCAATGGAGACGACGAGAGGTAGCCAGCTGATCAAATTCTAGCAAGCCGTGTTGCGGGATGAGGAGAAGGAGAAGGATGTGATCCTGCCAGGCCGTTCATCTCTGCGCTGGTCAAACCAACCGCCTTGCCCGAAGAGGTAGTTCAACCGTCAGCTCGCGAGCCGGCCGGCGAGAAGGGGGCTCATCAGATGAATCTCCGTGAGCTCACCACCAACAGAGCCACATCACCGACGTTTCTATCCATTTCCGTGCGCATCGAGTCGGTCCGACCCTTCTCTCCCAAGTCCAGCTGAATCAGACCCCTGTTTTGGGGGTCCGCTAGCGAGTCCTGTTGGCTCGACAATCGAGGCGCTCTCGTTCCCCGTCGAAGGAGGGTGGCTTTGCCCTCGTGGGTGCAGAGGAGAGAGTGACTCGATAAAAGCTGGAGATTCTCCGCTCCTGGATCGTTCTTGATCCTGCAATGCTTCCTATCCATACTTCTCATTCCTAAACAGCTCTTTGCTTTACGCTCACCATCATGAACCATCCCTTGAAGATCAAGCAATGGAATCCTTCGAAGCCAAAACGAAAGCCCAATCTTCGTGCAAGGAATCCCGAGCTGCGGCCAGTCCTTTCTGATGCCTCCTTTGCTCAGTCTATCGCATGTGACGCGGAGAATCCTTGGCCTTTTGTAGGCGGGGAGGACTTGGCCAATGTCGATCCCTACGCGGATTTCCCGTCGATTGAGGAAATCATTGACGAGGTGATCCGTTCCGCCACCAGTGACAGCGCAAGGGACAGCATCGACACACCGAATCATACCGCTACCCCGAAAGCTATCTCCAATTCCATTCCCCCCTATCCCGGAGGTGGGGGAGCAGGTGACAGCGTCAAGACACTAAGTCTTCAGAATGACACGCCTAATCGCGGCAGTAATAGTCAAGGTAGTGTCCCAGAATCCCTATCCTAAGATAAGAAGCTTACAAGGATTGATAGAGATTGCCATTGCCATGGACAAAGATCAGGGTATCTGTGAGATGTCTCCCAAACACACCATCGCCCCGGTGGCCACTCCCGACTCCATCCCGGGCCGACAAGTTGATCTTGATGATCTGGCTGGTGGAATGCCGACTGCATCCAAAAATGTAGTCCCCCCCAATGCGCCGTTGCCATTGGTCTTGGGTGGTGAAGCGCCCGACAATAATCATCAGTCCTTGTCTGTCCTCGCTCAACCGCCTCCCGCGGCAACCGAGGTTGAGAATCATACCCCGCAGGAGGAGCATAGTGACAGCACCGAGCATGGAGACACCCTGGAGGTTGATCATTGCGGGGACATTGTTGAATCGACCCCCACTGAATCGGGTTTTGGGTATGCCTCACCCTACCCAACGGATACGTCTCTCTCGTCAGGCTCAACCACACCGTCCACGCCTCCCTCACCTTCCTTACTTTCAAAGGATGAGACGCTGCGAAACCCTATCCAGGTTCAGGGCACTTCGGGTCCGAGCGGCCTTGTACCAATGGCCATGGATCTCAACCAACACGCAAGCTGCACTCAGGAGCCTGAAGTCTGCTCTTCGCGGAAACAACCAGTTGATGACATGATTGGGGGGGGCCGAGGCCGTTGTGGAGGCGATGTTGAACCTTGTTCTACGGGGTTAGGAGGCTCCCGTGCACCGACCCCTAGACGAAGAGCCCGAGGTTCATATATCCTCCATGGTGATTACTATGAGAGTGACGACGGCGACGGCGACGACGATGACTTTGACGACGAAAGGGGCCAACAGTCTCCAGAGCCCGACGGGACCGACAGGTCAAGGCGATGCAGTGGGAGTGTTCCTATTGAGGCCTTGCTCGCCGATGCCAAATACCGTCGTGCCCAGAGCACCGAGGACAGCGAGCGGGATCATGATGGAGACGAGGATGAGGATGAAGCTTATGGAAAGCGTCGACGCAAACGCCGTCGTTCCCATGAGCCCTTGGCTAGCATCAAGCGCCGTCGCTATGGGCATACCACTCGCCAATGCCCAACGAACACCACGCGATCGGTACCAAGGGATCGGACGCCGACACCTCGCATGCTCAGCCCGTCTTCGTCATACACTACATCAGACGATTCAGATACTGGGCATGATTTTGCGACATTTCGGGAATGGCAACTTGACAACGTCATACTGAAGCGGGTTGTCCTCAACGGTGTAGCCACCTTTCAGTTACAGTTTGGTTGGGACATGTGCTCGAAGCATGACAACGCGGTTGATGCTGTTCCTGACAGGCGCCACCGAACATCTACAGGCTCCACCGGCCGAGTACATCGCGGCGAAGGTGCGAAAGCCAAGTTCACACCGGAAGAAGATAGGTTCCTCCTTGACTTGAAGGAGGGCGAAGACGGCCAGTCATCTCCACACCTCACCTGGTCGGAGATTTATCGGCGGTTCAACGCGAGATTTCCAGGTCGACGATCATGTGGGTCTCTTCAAGTGCATTACTGTACGAAGTTGAAGGGCCGAGAGGAGCCTTAGCATACGGTTAGCAGTATTATAATTTATACATTTGTTGGACTTTTACTATCTTGGTTACGTGTTTTGTGGTTTGCAGCTAATGACCGAAAACATGGTAGCAAAACACCCGATCACCAGAACCAATAGCATTCACCCATTACGCGCCTTCGCCCAGTCAAGAGAGCACCACCTAGCCTTGTTCCCCGCCCTTTTCCTCGCAGCCTTGCGACCACATGGGTTTACACCGCAGCGTTTACCTTTCATTCATACATAACCTCAAGGCAGTAGGTGTCAAGTTTCCCGATGCAGACGTTCAGGGTCTAACACTAATCTCCCAACGCAGACCGCCTGGCCCGTTGGTCTTGATGAGTCATCAGGAGCGACCGGGTCGGCTTCCTTTCCACTCCTAAAGGTTGTCATAGGATAATAGTCCGAGTTATAAAAATTTCGATTAACCGGCCCAACCGAATGCTAAAAGACTCTCCTTGTCGCGTACTTCGCTATCATGAGATGACATGATTGGGAGAGCGCGATCTTTCACAGCCCAGCCTCGAGTCCGTATTTAGAATCTTTCTCAAGAACTTTCTCAATAGGTGAAGATTTCTGTATAAAGGTGTTGAGGGAGCTTGAGCGGTTATCTCATTCCTCTTTGTCATTCCCATGAGCCAACTCGTGATCGTCTTTCAAACAACGGCCTCCAATCTTATAGCAATCCGAACAAATCCCAAAATCCCCACCGTTGCACACTCCACATCTGTAGAAGCTCTCATCTTCCGGGATGCTCAAAGTGCAAACATCGCAAAATCTGGATGTCCTATCATTAAATGTCGGGCTCACCGCGATAGATTCGTCATCGAACACTAGTATGCCACTCTTCTCTGCATAGTCAAGTAGCACTTGCTCCATGTCGGTATCCCCACATCTTCTAGCCCACCACAATGAAGTCCGTCCGAAACGATCCTGAGAGTCGAAGGCGACTGGTCCAGTAGCCAGCAGCACTTTGACTACCTCTATGCGAGAATTTCGTACCGCTATCGATAGCGGTGTCGAACCATAATGATCTTCCTGGTCGGGATCAACTGAGTCGTGACTAAGTAGTGCCATTGCGACGGTGTCATGTCCGTTCTTGGCCGCATAAGACAATGGTGTCCGGCCAGTATTATCTTCTGTGTTCGCACCGTCTTTTGCAATCAGCAGCTTGACCACGGCCACATGCCCGTTCTCGGCAGCCCACGATAGCGGCGTCTGACCGTATCTATCATCCTTTGTGTCGACGTCGACCTTGCCCGTATCGAGAAGCATCTTGACCACAGCTTCATGCCCGTTCTCTGCGGCCCACGAGAGCGGCGTCTGACCGTACTCGGTGTCCTTCGAGTCGACCTCGGCGCCCTTCTCGAGCAGCAGCTTGACGATGGCCTCGTGCCCATTACCGGCGGCCCACGATAGCGGCGTTCGACCATATTTGTCCTTGGACTCGACGGCGGCGCCCTTCTCGAGCAGCAGCTTGACGATGGCCTCGTGCCCATTACCGGCGGCCCGCCATAACGGCGTCTTCTGACTAATTTTTTCCTTGGACTCGACGGCGGCGCCCTTCTCGAGCAGCAGCTTGACGATGGCCTCGTGCCCATTACCGGCGGCCCACGAGAGCGGCGTCCGATCATCTTTGTCCTTGGGCGCGACGTCAGCGCCCTTCTCGAGCAGCAGCTTGACGATGGCCTCGTGCCCCATCTCGGCGGCCCACGAGAGCGGCGTCCGACCATGCCAGCTGTCTTTCGCCTCCATCTTCGCGCCCTTTTCGAGAAGTAGCTTGACAATGACACGATGGCCATAGTACGACGCTAGCATGAGATCCGTAAAACTTTCGGTAGTCCTCATACCTGTAGTCTTCCAATAAATTGTAAACCATACCGAGTAGCTCTTCGAATCCGGATCACAAATTCTCAGAGCGGAAGGTACAATGGCAGCGACATCGATGATACCAGCCTCGCGGAAGTGAGCGCCCCAAGTTTTGGCCGAGTAATCTAAGAAGGCGTGCCTATCGACGGAGTGGCCGGCTTCCCCATTCATATCTGTCGGAAGGCTAACGTCGGAGTTAAATAAGTTTAAATAGAGCACGCAGAGCTCGGCAAGAACGGCGTGTGCCTGGCGAGTAGTGATGGAGTGATGCCAACGTAGGTCCGACGGAACAGTTGTAGGCGATGCCAAATCTGCGAGGAGAAACTCGCGAGCAGTTTGATGAAGGAAATAAATCTTGCCATGATGGATTGAGACGAACAATCCACACCAAGATCTGAGACGCGTCTTGAAGTCCTCGTCATCCTCCAGGTCGAGGTCGTGAATAGACTGTGATGTGTAGTCTATATTCATGGCAACGTTCATTTCCGAGAGGGTTAGCGGCCGGCTCGCCGCTAAGATAATACTCAAGGCTTTCCGAACCATCGGATCTTCCTTAGTCTTATTAAGAATTTGCTCATATGCCTCATTGATACTCCTCGGAAGTGTTGCAATAGTAGACTCGACCCCCTTCAGTGTCTTTTTAAAATCGTCTCTCTCCAAGTAGTTGAACACAAGGTATACCCAGAGATAAGTGCGGTGGGTAGTCCCCTGTAGTCTTTTCTCCAGGTGGCTCTTGATTTGGGGTGAGAGGCGCTTCTTCCTCCACAGCTGATTGATCCGGCGCGTAATGACGTGATTCACCTCCTGGCTGATCGTTTCTGACTCTTCCTCTCCTGGGATACGGATATTTGGAAAAGCCTCCAATAGGCCGCGGAACTTGGACACGATCTGATAATACGGGCGGCAGGTTAGAAGATACTTCAACTTGTCATGGCCCAGATGGTCGCTGCGGAATTGGCTCTCCACATTCCGCATCAGGTCCGCAAACTCTGATTCGGCACATTCGTCCAGGGCATCAAGGACCATGATTACAGGTCCTGCCTGGGGATCTTTTATAGCGTTTCGTAGAACCTTCCAGAGGGATTCTGTAGAGTTGATCAAACCTTTCCCATCCTTGCGGAATTGTGTCATGGCATGTTCGATCAGAGACGACTTCTGAGAAAAGAGTTGGTGAAGCAGTGCGCAAAGTGCTTGCCGGACGGTGTTCTGGTCTTGGTCTTTGAAGAAGAAGTAGCAGATGGTTGTCGATCGTGGCAGGCCGTGGTCGATCAGGTACTTGGCCAGCACCGACTTTCCACAACCAGGATCCGCCGAGACTAGCAGGGGGCCAGACTCTTGGTTCAACCACGTCTGGAAGTGCTCGTGCTTGAGGAACCACATGCACGTGTCTTCAACCCTTTCTTCCACTCGGTCTTTATACCACTCGTATGTGGGTGTGAGGCGGAACAGCTGGTGAACCCTTTCTTCTTTTTCAGACAGCCTCTCCTTGGCGAAATCTGTCTGGGCTTGGAGCTGCTCCTTTGCTGTGTCCCGGGTGTGCTTTGCAATGTCCCGATCCTCCCTTGCAATGTCTCGGTGCTCTTCTGCAACTTCATGGAGGCCTGTACATAGGATTAACATGTATTAATAATATTCTAAGACCTTGGCCTACCAGATAGAATATCGCCGATCTTCTTTTCAGCTTCAACCCTGTTTGGAGCTATTTGATAGAGAAGATCCTTTGCATATGCAGCAGCCACCATTGCTGCATAGCCCTGCCACTCCTTGTTCTTGTGGGAGTCCGAGTAGTCGCATATACCACGAATGACGAGACAGGGAAAATGGTTCATCAGCCCAGCCGCTTCCATTTCGAAACAAAGAACGTCCTTTTCCTCTGAAAGTCTATCTCGAGCCGAAGCGTCCTTCATCAGTCGGTCTGCTGAAGCAATAAGACCGTAATGAATGGCTGGGTTGTCTTCGTTCTTGGTCCTTTCGGGTCGCAATACCAAGTTTGATACATCATCACTACAGATCGCCGCACAGCTTAAGTCGTGAGTAACTTCGGGTTTGAATAGTCTGTCGGCACCTGTTTCTGGCTGTTTGTACTTCCCCCGGAGCCTTGGGTTCTTCTCGAGAATCATGTTGGTAGTCGCTGCGAGTTGATGCCCTTTCCTCTCGTAGCGGGCCTTGAGTCCACTCACTGTCGTCCGAAGGAGGGTTGGTGGCTGGTTTAAGAGCCCTGTCTCTTGGAAGTCCCGTCCTTGTATCGCTTTACCAAAGTCGTACCCGAACACCCCACCCTTTCCATTGCCAGCAGAGCTGACCACAATATCCCCAAGACGGATATCATGCTTTCCAGGCGCACCTCCGGCGATGCCGACCATCAAACCGATTCTGACATTAGGAAAGCTGTGCAGCATATCTCTTGCAACGCTTGCGGCAGAGGATTTTCCGTACTCGTTGTCGGGCAAGACGGCGATGACGACATTGTGCTTCCCAACTTTGCCTAGTGTGTAATGGTTGGTGTCATTGGGAGACACATATTCCGGTCCTTCGTGTTCTTGGTCGAGAAATTCCTGCGCGGCAACGTACTCCGTAGTTATGGCGCAGATCCAGCCAACGGTGTAGTCGTTCGGATTAGACATGTTCGCTCGCAGGATGATCCAGACGCAAAGTGAGCTACAAAGGACAATTAGTGTTTGGTCGCCGAGGTTTCTCAGAAAGAGCACTTGCCTCTACCTGGACAAGCTGGATCCGCCTGCAGACCGCTGTGGTCGCCAAGCACAACAACCAACCTGACAGCGCAACTTGTCCCCTCTAATCGCGGGGGTTCAGTGGGATTTTAGGATCTGCGCTAAAGTTCGATTGACAGAGCGTACAGTACCTCAAAAAAGAACAACGATTATGAATGAAGCCAGGACACCGCGACCTTCGCTCAAACAAAAAGCGGTTGGGCAACATTAGGCAGAAGCAAGCCGCTAAGAAATTTATCATCAGTCATGTGCTGAGGCCACCCCCCCTCGACCGCGGGCGCTTACTCGCAGTTGAATGGGCACCTCTCGCCCAATAATATCGTTCTCATGCTAGTACGGCAGGGCGCATCACACGCTCTTCACCAATCATGCGTTATTGTTGTGTCTCGTCTCTTCAAGGGTACTCGAGTTCGTGCTTCCCCATCGCCGACGTGTTCGGGCTAACAAAACTGTCAATAGAGTTCTCCGTTCTCCATCCCAGCCAGTCGAGTACGAGAGGAGCATGGCGCCGACGCGTCGCGACACGATCACGACCAGCCTCGCCTGCATCGTACCGCACAGAGTTTCGTGACTTGGCCGCCGCGAGTCGTCGAGTCACGACCTGCATTGAGGAGGAGCTCGACCTGGAGCGACCGCCAGCATTCACAGCTGACTCTGGGTCGCGGGGTGGCCCATGCCGCTGCGTCCGCTCCACTACCAGCTCGTGCCCGGTCGGGAGATCTTCGTCACGGAGCGTATGGACCTGGATCTCGTCTGGCCAATGGGCAGACGTTCCTCAAGGCCTTCTTACGCTTTCTGCCCTAGCCTCGCTTTGGACCTGATATTGCCCGCGCGAAGTGGCGTGCGGCAGCACGGCTGGCGGCAGTGCACGGATAAAAGTGCAGGGGAGGAGTTCGAGGCATTTTGCGGGGCTTCTTTTTATCCTACGCCGTGCGCACGAGAGCGACATCCGCATCTGTCTCTCTCATTTATGTAACCAGCGAATTTACATTTTTTCCACTCCTTCAACATCCTACTCTTCCGTTACGGTTAAGTGAAATCTGCAAAAACGGCCGAAAGTTCAGCAATCAAAGGCAGCCGAGTCGAGAACTTCTCGCCCCTAGCCTTGCGCAATTCATTCACGAATTCCTCGAGAAACTCCTTTGTGTGATCTGTTCCTTGAAAACCGAGAATGTCCAGGTTCGTCCAAGAGTCAGGCTGCATGAGGAAGAGATCTAGGCTGGAGTACATTTTGTCCTCCTCGTAGTCGATTCGAAATTTCTCCCCGCTCTCAAGGACGGAATCCTGGAGCAACTCGACGGATTAGTATGGGTTAAGTTTCCAACTGGGGTAAAATATCATCTTTTGTTATAGCTTACCGGGGGTTCATTCGTTTTGTCACTCGATTTTTGTTTCACGGATTCAATCTCACTCTTCTTTGCAGACTGGCGTTGTTGCAAATGAACCATCAACCCATGCTTGACTTCTTGGTAATCTCGTTGCACCCAATCATGCATCTTGTCGCTCAAAGCTTCCAATTTAATTTGCTCCGAGATGTCCCAGAACGTTCCTTCCGCATCATCATCTTCGTCGGTTGAATTGGAGCGACAGCAGGTGTGGCGAAAGCCTGCCTCTTGATAATACGTCTGACGGAAGACAGATAAAGCAAAGTCCTTAGCTTCCACTAAAAGACCCCGATCTTCAAGTATGAGAAGCCACTCAAATATCCAGAAACCATTGTAAAGTCGCGAATGAAAGAATTCCATGATATCGAGTTCCAGGTTCGAACCAGGGACACAGCCACCAGGCGAACAGTTGCAGGAACAATGGTCTCTGATACCGACATTAGCTCCGCTGTCAAGAAGAATTTCCAGGATGTCGAGGAGGTCCTTTTTCTTGTTGTCCTCTGAGTTATGTAGAAGACCAAGCAACCTGTGGAGGACTGTTTGACCTCGGTTGTTTGTTATGTTGACCTGTGCCCCCTTCGCGATGAACTGCCGAAACAAAGACGGATTAAGAAAGCGACCAATAGCAAACAATGAGTGCTCGCCCAAATTATTCCTGTGGTTGAATTTTAAAAATCCTGAATCAACAAGCATACTTGCCAGCTTAGGGCTATCTGCAACGTGCATCAGTGTGCCACCATCTTCGAAGCAGATATTCATTGAAGTCAGGTTGGAGAAAACCTTCAGCCAATATTTCCTCCAACCCTCTGTGATACTTGTTGAGTCATGTGCGAAGAAGCAGTCTGGCCCAGATGCAAGGAAGATGCTAGGGAACAATCTGGGGAGCAGGCTGCGGTCCTTCGAACTGATCAAGTCAATGGCACACCAAACCAAAGACCAATGATCTCGGATTGCGGCGTACATGATGAAGTCGTAGTCATTCAGCTTATCACGCATGACTAGATCTGCACCGTGATAGATGAGAGCTGTAACTGCTTCTGAAATGTTCATGGCGGCAGCATACATCAAAGGAGTGATGCCATTTTTATCGCACACGCTAGCATCATGACCCGCAGCTAGGAGGATAGCCAAGCGCTCTGGATAACGCACAGATATATGGAGAGGTGATTGCCCAAGAAAGTTGACATGTGCCTCTAGAGGCTGGGCTTTCTGGACGAGCAGCCGAAAGTCTTCTTCAGACCCGTGTAGAATCACGTTGTGAATGGGTGGGCTGTCCCCAAAATCTGTGAGGAGTTCGAGTTAGACAAGTACACACACGCCCCATTAGCTAGCATTACCAGGGTTGGATTTGAGAACTATGCCCATATATTCCAGGTAAAACGGGTCTCCTGGTATTATACGGACGTACGGAGCCAACTCTGGGTCATGCACGCAGGGTTGCGGCCATGACTCGAAGCTGGGAGAAGGAGTTGTGCTGAAGTCGCAGCCAAGAGAAGTGACAGCCTCAATCATTTCGAGATGGCGATTTTCCGAACTGAACGATGCACAGCTGTACATGAGACTAAGACATGGTTCAGCATTGCCACGATAAAGAATGAGTAGAGACGTAAGACACACCTCGGACTATCAACCCCTTTGGTCAAATGAAGTTCTTCGACAAGGAAACGTAGCAACCGAATCTGGGTCTCTATTTCAATGCCGGAGTATCCCCATCCTCCGTAGGTTATAGCTTTCTAGAGCCGACGGAATCGATATTAGCGACGTTGATGGCAAGACTAGAATGAGACACCAACCTCGAGATAGCCCATTCCCTGGGGGTCGACTTGACTCACAAATGCCGGATCTGATCTGTAAAGCTCTCTGAACTGGAGTTCTGCCTCGTCCCACTCCAAAAGCTGTTCTGACAGCTTTCTTAAAATGACGAAGCCCGGTGCGGTATAATTGACGACACTCTCAACTTGCAACACTGGTTGAAGCCAGTACTTCCCTGGCTCCACCGTCATATCGAGTCCAAATACGACTGCCCATCTCACACCAAAGCGTGAAAGCGCGACCCGAAGGCCGACTCTGTAACGTTGAGCCGAACACCTGACGTTGTCGCAAGTATTGAATATGTTGGCCAATGGGGCGTACTGAAGGCGCCAAAACCTGCCGCCTACCACACGCGTGATATGGCATGAGCAATGGCAACTTCGGACCGTACAATGAGCAAATCGGTACCGAGGGATATTTGTAATTGGAGGCAGAGTATCATCATGTGGTTTGCTCGTTGGCGAGATGCGGATGTGTGAACTATCTCCGTCACTGTCCTCAGGGACCGCGATGCGGAACAACTTCTTCATGGCGACGTTTTGATGGATCAAATAAAGCCTGTACGCATTAATATCCGAGGCCGACTAAGAACACGTGTGCGTGCTGGATTGGGATGCAGTACAGAAGGAGGTCTTGCTTGACACCTGTAACCGCGCTTCGGAGCTCTTCAAGTTCGGTATTCCACCTCTTCGATCGAACTACTGCACGAACAGCATTTATTTTTGATGGCCTGGCCGGGATGTTCGCCGTGAGGATTGTCAGTCGGTCTGTTAGATTCGCTGCACGACTGCGGCATCTCTCCAAAACGATCGGCCCCATTTGTTGTTCCAGGATGCCATGCGCCTCGGCCTCGAGGTCATTCAGCTGCTCAGTGATCAAATCGAGGTCTTCCATCAATGCCGAAATGTCACCAAAGAGTCCTGCTGCATTTTGGTGACGTTGCCGTAGTCGTTTGACCCCTTCTGCCAGTTGCAGAGCAAGGGACGCGAGGCCAGCGCCGCTTGCCACGACAGCCACGACTTCTGCCATGGCAGGGTTCGATAGCAAATTCAAACTGAAGCGAGCGATGTCACGATGGGTGAAGGATGCCAAGTATAGATTGTTTCTCGTTGAGAACGGTGCCCAATGCTAACAAGCCTCTCGTGAGGCTCTCTCACAATCAGGCTGATGCGGGCACCAATGAGAGCTGCAGATGACTGAAGCTGCGCCCTGACGTTATCGTAATTGAGCAACTATTTCTCACCACCAGGGCTCTAGTCTTTGGCACAGGTTCAAAACTGTTGTCCTTCTTGAAGAACAAGGCCGCGCACCGGATGATCCACAGCTGGGCGCTCTTCTCGACAGAGTACGTGTCGGGCTCCAAACGGAGCAAGACCTCCACCTGCTATTGACGGAGCGCTATAGGGTAACTGGGAAGGGACCCAAATGATTGGGCGACACATTTTAATATTTTCGAATTATCAACCTGAGCTAAGTGGTATAAATAATAGAGTCAATGCGTGAACTGGCTTTTTGATTGCTCCATGCTGCCAAAGATGGGAAGCAAAGAGTGGGAGATAGGCTTGAGCGCAGGCATTATGTGCTCATCACAATGTTTAGCCGGTGGCTAATGTGGCTGTTGATTTGGCCAAGACGTACCTTAAGGGATTTCCCGGTGATCTGCCGGATCTGGTGATTCGCCGGACTTACACCAACTTGCATTCCAGACATCAATCTATAATAGCTCCACAGCCGCAGTCCCAAATCTTCCAAAATTAAACACATAATGAAAATGCAACTATAAGATATGTCTCAGTCTATTTCGCAGTCATCAAGCCATCGTGGTCGCTTGCTATTCCGCTGCGGCCGCCCGGTACCCCGAAATGCGACTACCATCTCCCGATCACTCTCAACAGCTAGACAGGGTCTTTTCGGACGAGCGGTACGGATTGGAGTGGTCGCTGCCTTCCCTTTTCGGTTGTCTTTTGGTAGATCTAGGGCCTGTGATGCTACCGGCGGCTCTGGTATGAGTGGAAGAGCGACGATTATCTCGTCTCGAACGTCCGGACTCTTCTCGCGGCCTTCAGAAGCCACCCGTCGTTCATGTTGCATTTCATGTGCCATTTCCAGATTGCGACGCTTAAGTTCTTGTCGAATCTGTCGATTGGTCTCCTTCTCTTGCTGCCTGGCCTCCCTTACCTGCCGTTTTCTCTCTATTTCCGCCTCTCGTTGCCTCCTCTTCTCCAGAGCGAGAGCTTTTTGCTCCGCCGCCTTCTGCTGTCGCTGAGCCTTTTACGATTCCTTCTGCAGAACCTCCTCTTTCTTTTGGGCGTCCATCGCCGCTTTCTTTAGGCGGGCTTGAGCGACTTTTGCTGGGCTAAACACCTGAGCTGAATTTGGATCTGTACGATCAAAGAGCAGATCTTTCAGAGCTTTACCGCGCTGTCTGCGCTTCTTTTCTTGGCTAATTGTCTCGCGGAGTCCTTGATTCTCATATCGAAGCAGTTCAACCTCAGATTGCAGGCTTTCGAGGGTGTTCTTCAGCTTTCGGCTGTTGCGGTCAGCATCGATAGAGGATTTGTCGACTACTTTGTCAATAAGTCGGCGTAAATCTCGGGCCGTAGGTTGCTGAAGGGCTAGTGATTCTACCGAGTCGCTACCCGTATTCGAACCATCATCTTTTTTCTCAGTGATCTGCGATAGGACCACTTCTGGGTCAAAAGGCAGGAGACCAGTCCGTTTCCACCCACTCGCAATGTTCTCGGAAGAGAAGGAAGTCTCAAATGCGTTCCAAAATAAAGTCCAGAACTCACGTTTCGATAGGCCAATAAGGCCTTGTGTTTTTGCTGTCCACTGGATAAGCTGATTTGAATATGCGGTCGAAAGGGGGCTGAATAGCGACACGTCCAAGGGTTGCAGCCGATGCGTGGAATAGGGGGGAAACACCGCAACGATAATCCGGTGCTGGTCACACCACTCCAGAAAGTCCATATTAACATGGCTAGAGTGGCCGTCGGTAATAAGAAGGCGATAATCACGACCGTTTCGAGCTTTTGCCTTAGTAAAGCGATCGAAAACACCGACGAGCCACTCTTTTCCAAGCTCGTGATTTGTCCACCCCGTTTCTGAGGTGGTAAAGAAGGCTGATTGATGTTCTGGGTCAAATTCATTGAGCCAAGAGTCCTGGACTTGTCCTGGTTTGCCTTGATAGATGAGGAATGGGGGCAGCGATGTCATATCCTGGCTGATGCACGCCAGGAACGTAATCCAAGATCGATTACCATCTTGCGACGCACCGAGCAATTTGCCTTGCTTTTTGACGTTAATGGAAAATACTCTCTTCGTTCGATTGATCACACCCAAGAGAAATCCTTTCTCATCCGCGTTATACGTGTTGCAGGGTAGGATGTTATATTTCTCGATTTTTATGCGGATCTTCCACTGTCAGTTGTGAAAGGGAAGCTTCGTGCATTGGCTTACAAGCTCAAAATAAGCCCTATACCTAGAGGCATTATCGGCTCTCTTTCGCGCGATGTCCAACCCGTCGAACCATATACAACCTAACTCATCTCGATTGCGTCGAACGAAGCTGTACGGCCAGTCCTTTCCGACCTCGATTTTGGCGATATCCTGGGCGAAGTTCTTTATCATAGGTAAGGTAGGGGGAATTCCACGCGATGAAAGCTTATGAATATAAGCGATAAGATCCCGTTCTTGTTGTTTTAATAGATGTGACTTATACAAACTGTCGGCATCTCGTCTTGACCGCTGTTTGCCTTGATGTCGGCGTCGCAAGGTCGTCTCGTCGCAATTGAAACGCCGTGCAGTCTCAGCATAATTAACTGATTCCGACGATTTCAGGAAATCAAGGGCCTCATCAATCGGCGCCATGGTTGTTGAGTAATTGTCGATTGATGTCGAGTGTGCGAAGTGGCGGTGATCCGGCGGATCACCAGATCCGGCAGATCACCGGGAAATCCCTTAACTATTGCCCAACATTGACTATGTCACGTGCTGTTAGCTTTCAACACCTAATTTCTAAGGCAGAAGTACCTAATACCCCGCTACCCCAGCATTCTGCTACGACCCAGAACAATGCACAACCTAAGCGAATTTGCAACGCCTACATTACCAGATTTATCCTTTACATCGCATACTCATCTTTCGGAATCTTCCCAAACTTGGCTCTATCATGGCTGCTGTGGCCAAGGGTTCCGGAACGCGTATCCGTGCTTGATTGCGACGATTGGGATAAAGACAACTTCCGAGGTTTAGCCTTGGGAAGGCCACAATCACCACATTTGTGTCCCTGTACCTGTATCTGTAGCCCCCGCTTCTCTGCCTTTGGGCAAAGAGAAATTTTCATGCCTAGTTCCCGAGGCCATGCTCGGCAACGATGAGCAAGAAGTCGGGCCAGACTCTTTGGCAGAGCTTGACCAGGTCTTACATACTTTCGAGCATTCTGCCGCGCGCGCCAGGTGGAATGATGAGGGAAAGGGTGTGGCGACCCTAGACCAGGGAGCGGAAAACGTGAAAGCGGCGTGTCGCGAGCTCAGGAAATCTCTCTTGTCTATGAACAAGGTAAAGCAGTCAAAACATAGTGGCGGCGACCCATGCTGATAACCCACCCAGATCAAGGAAAACGAGGATCGAGTCGGAGCCATTGTTCGTGCTGAAGGGCCCTGTACGATGAAGGTCAAGCAGGACACGTACGTCGTTACCGTAGCCGTGCATGGAGATGGCCAAGCGCCGACAGCTGGGGCCACTTCGCTCCCCGAAAGAACCATAACTCGTATCCACGACGGGACTGTGTCCATCAATAGCCATACTACGGTGTATCTGGTGCTTCTTGGGCATTGACACAAGGTAGTTGGGCTGTCAAGCGGCTAGGTGTTGAACAATCCTGGCAGATCTTCATGGAAAGCATCAAAGTCGGCCAACATGATGTGTGTGGTATCAAAGGCCCCGGCGTCTACCGCTGTTTCCATCTCGACGGCACTGGGCGCGAATGCCCTATCGAAACCTGATATCATAAAGGATTCAGTATCAAAAATGTCGGCAGCTCGTGTCAAAGGTGGATCGACTTGCTCTGTCGCAGCATGTTTCGGCTCGCAAACGCCCCGAGGCATTACATGCATTCCCTGGGACCCAAAATCTAAGGGTTGATATCGATATTCAATTGCCTCGGCGGGTTTTGTTGTCCTAGATTGGTGGTTTCGTGGCGCTTCGCTGCCGCCTCCTCCATCACCTAGGGTGGATGTTACTCTCAGCGGCTCCGAGTTTGCAAACAATCCAGTGTCATCCTGGGTTGTATAGCCCCTAATGGTTTCCGTGGGATCTCTTATCGTGTCTGAGTGTGTCGATGGTTCCCGCGATGACTGGCGTTGTTTTGACATCTTTTGTGCTGCTTGGTCATCAACAAGTTTGCGTTTTCTTCTTTGGACGAGGCCCTTAGCATTGTCCTTGTTGCCTATAATGTCAATATTCTGAATCAGCTGAAGATTCCACGACTTTGAATCCACCTGGACGTACGTGGTGTTCCTTTCGCGTTCGTCCCGCGACCTTTCCAGTTCCGTGGAGCTGGGACATGCTTTGTGGGTTTGTCTTCTGGCGGTTCCGCCGCGTCAGTCTTGGACACAATGAGGCTAAACTTTGGATGAGCCTTGATGCATGCCGTGGACTTGATGAATGCACCCAAGTCGTCTTTGTCCAAGCTTTTGATCAAGCTATGGACCTCCCTGTCCGCCTGGCAGGCTGCGGCGAAGGCAACCAAGGCCCTTGTCCCTCCGGCCTGAAAAATTCTGGCTTCAAGTGACTTCTCATCCGCCGGGACCGTCTGATCGGCTGCTGATACTTGCGCGGATTTGACAATGGACACGATATGATACGGCTGGTGAGCTGCTGCGGTTTGGATGGCGTCTCGAAAATGGCAACCAAGATGGATGCGAACCAAGTGATGATTCTCGAGAGGAAGAGAGATGAGGCTTTGCAAAATTTCCTCAACACGCTCGTTGTTCCCTTGGAAGCTTGACCTAGGACTTGAGGTACGACTGTTCCTGGCAATGAGGGGGGGCTGAAGAGACATTCCAAAAAGTATCAAGGGCCCGAAGACTGCGCTGCTGGCACGGCGTTCTGGTGCAAATAAAGTGTTTTCCCCTAATGTGATTACAGATACTGTGTTTGCACCTAATCTTGGGGTAAATGAGGAGTTTGTGACGCGTGTCTGGGTAGTGCCTACACCTCATTGGCTGAAAGGTCTCATGCAGGGATGACATAAGCGCTTCTGGCGTTGCTTCACAGCCCATCAAGGAAAGATGCTGTGTTTGCTCCAGATCTTGGGTAAAACAGGGTGTTTGCACTGAGACTTGCATCAAATCAAGTGTCAACACCATATTCAGCCTACAGACGAGGGAAGGTTCCAGGGGGCAAGGATCTTTTCCCGACTTGGGCTAACCGAGCACCAGTCTGTGAGCCATCGGCAGCGGTGGAAGTGTGATTGCAACGCTAGGTAAATATAGAGGGCTGCTTGGTTGGTGATAGAAAATGGCCACCCACCATTTGCGTCACCTTTGACTCTCGGCATATCTTCTCCGTGTTTTCGACCATTCCTCCTGTAAGCAACACTTTGGGATGGCTGAGCTTGATGACCCTGGAGCGACCAATCCATTAGAGGCTGAGGACCAATCGGCCGACGATTCCGGAGTGGATGACGTATGTTCTTAGCGTCCACAACACTGAACTAGACTAATCTCATTCCAGGTCGCAGACGACGCGTCGTCTACTCAATCGATAACATCGAGCATACTCCAATACCGAGTAGAGAATGGCAGGAGATATACTACCTACGGGAGCGGGGGTGAGTTCTCGCATTGCTACCTGAGATTAGCTCGCTCACCTCACGGCGTTCGGGTAGAGTATTCACTTCCAAACGACGAGGTACGTACGACGATGGTAGCAACTGACAGCGGCCACTAACAAGCGCAGCCAGAACAAGAAAGGCTAGGTGAGTATCGAGTTGTTTTCGTCAAGACTACCCGGCTGACCCCGAATTGACATAACTCACCACATCTGGACGCTAGTGGGTGAGAATAAGCTGTACCAAACTCCTCTGAAGAATCGGAAAAGGATTCTCGACGTGGGTACAGGTACTGGCATCTGGGCCCTTGACGTTGGTATGTAGTCCCTCCTAAGGCGTTGTGAGTGAGCTGCTGACTTTGCGCTAAGCGGATGCGCATGAGGAGGCCGAGGTCATTGGCGTGGACCTTAGCCCCATCCAACCGAGTTGGTAAGTCTTTCATCCACGATGCATCGTTATTGCCATTTATCAACACTACCCAAGGGTTGCTCCTAATTGCAGGTTCGAGGTGGATGACTTAGAGAAGCCCTGGACGTTCAAACATCTGTTCGACTTTGTGTTTGTTCGCAGCATGATTGCAAGCTTTAAAGACTGGCCAGGTATATTCGATGAAGCATTTAAGTGAGTCTCCCTCATGACAGCAATATTGATACTAACACGACGCTCTCCATAGAAACATCGAACCTGGAGGTTACATTGAAGTTCAGGATAATGTATACCCGCTCGCTAGCGACGACCACACGATTAGAGACACCAATATCCTGCGATGGTCAGAGCTCATGGTTGAAGGCGCAGACAAACTTGGTCGCTCCATCACCGTTGCCCGCGATTTCAAGTCGATGCTTGCAGACGCAGGTTTTGTCGACATCGTGGAGAACAAAAAGCGGATTCCTATGAATGGTTGGCCGAAAGATTCACTATACAAGGAACTAGGACAGTGGAGTCACTATATGCTCCGCCATGGCATTGAAGGAATCTCGATGGGATTGTTGACGACAGTTTTGGGTTTGCCTGCTGAACAGGTACACGTCCTTCTGGCAGATGTCAGAAAAGACCTCTCCAGTACTAGGATTCATGGCTATTGGGATACGTATGATCCCCCCGACAAACATGATGGGCATGACGCGACTGACAGACACTCAGATATTTAGTATATGCAAGGAAGCCAGAGAACTCAGCTGGTTGAGGGCAGCTGAGGTAGTTAGATCTCAAGTTATAGCATTCAGTTCTCGTTGGGGCAGTAGGTTTACCGTCACCAGTACTATTAAGCTTGATAGAGCTTGGCTTTGAAGTTGCCTTGACAGAGTTGGAGAAGTGCTATTATTGTTAAAATTTGACTTGTTTCACTGGCTCTACTTGACTTCTTTGGGCTCAGAAAGCCGACTGTCGTCATATTTTATTCGTTGTCGTTACAGTGCAGCAGCTAGGCGCATAGCGAAGGAAGCCAGCATCTGTCACACCAGCCAGGTATCAAAGCAGCTTCGTTGAGTTGTTTGTTAGTAGGGCTGTAGTGCTGAAGGACACTATTAAAGCGCTCGAGGCGGTAAATTAGCCTCGACTTACTCATGTAGGCTCTTATTTGTGGTGAATGAATTACAGACGATGACGCAGACCGGTAACTCAAGCCGGGGCCCTGGATAATAGGCTAGCTAGGTGTCGTAGTGAGCAACCACCCTCGACAACTCCTCCATCCCGTGGCAGGGTTCTTCAGCCAATGACTACCCCGTTTTATCCTACCATGCTAGTACCACGTCGCTTGGTCGAGGCGGCCGCATAAGTGTGACGGCACTCTCTTGTTGTGAAGTAATTACAGAGTTATGCTGACTGCAGTAGCAAAGATAATATCCTAGTTTCCCAGCCCCTAAGCATAGAAAAGCAGAGCCGCATTCGCATGCCATTATTTGCTAAGCTAGCTATAGCACGCGCCAACTTTTATTGAGGCAGTGTAGAATACTCAAAGAAGGGTTTCAAGTTAAATGTAGATTCCTACAAATCAGATCCCAGGTTCACTGTGGATACCGTGGCGTATTTGTGTCTTATATCATTCGCCTTCGGTGAATCCTCCTTGCGCCACATCTGCATAAACTGTTCACTAACCCGAGAAAATACAACTGGCGGTGACCGACCGCGTTACAGTGCTGGCTGCAGGAGCAGCGGCCTAGCTGGAGTTCCGGATTGTGAACTTTCCCGCAGGTCAAGACGCACGAACCCCTGAATGTGACAACGTATGTGTTGATGCGACAACCTGGTTGAACAGCACACGGGCCTTGACTTTCGCCCAGGTATAACAGGTCTGGCATCCCCGCCTGAATACATGAGGGGTCAAGTATTTTGCAATTACAAAAGTCAGTCCTCTTAAACCTCCCTTACCTTACAATGGTGAGTTACCTTGAGGCCGTGATCACGTAGGGCGCAGATACTCATCATAGTCAAGGAAAACGTTTCGTCTTCGATCCCAGCAACCGATTCGCTTCGAGGCGATGTGATCAACGGACGGCTTCAGTTTTCAGACCTATCACAGAAAGAATGGCAGTACACGAAGGACACGTTACTGGGCAATGCCTTTTTTTCTGGCCTTTCTAGAGAGGAACGTCGGAAGTTAAGCGAAAGGCTACTGGACATGGAAAGGAATAAGCTTAAAAGACCCTGGGCAGGAGTAGGCAGTCTGAATTGCAAAGAATGCAATGCCCCAAAAAGCAATTGTTCGGCCAAAAGCTTTGCTGAGGTGGCATATTGCTCTACATGTTGTAGCAAGCTCTACAATTGCGAAGCGCCGTTGCTCAAACACCCAGCACGACCGGTTTACAAAGTTGGAATCTATCTTCACACCACCCCTCCTTCCTTTCCACTTCTATAGGTTGCCATATTACAGTAGGGTAGTCCGAGTTATAAAATTCGATTAATCTGTTCCACCGTATGCTGAAAGACTCTCCTTATCGCGTACTTCGCTATCGTGAGGTGACGTGATTGGGAGAGCGCGGTCTTTCACAGCCCAGCCTCGAGTCCGTACTTAGAATCTTTCTCAAGAACTTTCTCAATAGGTGAAGATTTCTATATAAAGACGCTTGAATTTCAGCGAGTGTCATTTGAGGTATGCGATAAAGGAATGACATAATGGTAGAATCCAACATACTGCACCTATCTGGGCTGGCGGACATAAAGGTAGAGCTGGTCTTAGTTTTATAACATCTAGATCCTCTTCTCGGACGGTTCTCCCTGGCTCGCCTCTAACCGCCTCTTGTTCTGCTCTTCCAGGAGTCTTAGTTCTTCCTGGAAGTGCTCGAGCTCCCTCTGTATTCCTGGTGGAACTGGCCGCCCCGATGCAGTTCCCAAGGTGTTGCCATCCCTTTTCGGCCTCTTTACCTGTTTCTTTTCGATCCTTGACCCTCGAATAGTTCTGGTAGGTTGGTTTGACTTCTTCGCCTTGCGCCTTCCCCCAGGCTTCCGAGTTGGACTGGTGCCATGGCTAGGCTCTTGAAGGGGCTCGGGTTGCAGAGCTGCAGCAAAAGCTTCATAGCGTGTGGGGCTGTTCATTTCAGTTAGAGTTCCAGGGTCTTCACCGTTTGGGAAGAACTCAGGCCCCCATCCTTTCTCGCTACAATGTTCACCCCTAGGAGACTGATGGTGACAGCGAGGGCCCTGAGCACGCACGACATGGCCTGCACTTGCGGTCAGAAGCTTTCTCGTAAATACCTAGTAGAGAGCCAACCTGTACTATCTCCATCGGCAGGATCGACTGGATTTGGATCGGTGGGAGTGTTCGCCGGAAGACTGGTATTGTGCTTTATGAGAGGCATGTGATTCAAGTTTATTTCCTCCCTCCCAGGGCGCTCGTGCAGAGAGGGGCTCTCCCCCAGAATAGGAGAAGACATTGTTTGTAGTTATAAATCTCAGAAGACGAAGTCTAGGAGGCGGTAGGATGGGAGGACCGAGAGCAACGGGGAGGAGACGTGAATTTATGTTCTCTTGAGCTGAGTCAAGCCCGTGAACAGAGTTCTTGAGTCAAGGAAGGCGACCTGCATGAAGATGGCGTGTCACACATGTGATGTGAACATGGAAGGAGGCTGTCTCAGCCCGGCTACATAGCCATGTCTGGCCAGGCAGCAAAGAGATACAGGGAGGGATATTTGCCCCATACGGAAAGGATCCGGGTATGACGATGCTACTTGATACAACGAGGTAGCGCCCGCAGGATGGTCAAGCCTCCTCCCACAGCCCATTTTGTTTTGCCTGAGCCCGTTGATGACGACATCCTCACCACTCAAGGTGCCGCCGTATGCAAGCCGGTCTGACATCCCTGGGCGTAAGACAACATCCAGACATACCACCGACCCCTGAACCAGCTGAACTAGCTGAAAGATTCTTCACCCTACGATTCCTGCCACACCTCGCTTGGAATGACCATGTCGGCGTTGCCCTGACCCGTCGGTCTCTCCGTGCTGTTTGCCCGCCAGATCGGCATGACAAGAGTTAGTCTTGTGATCATTAATCCATGCCTCAGCTCTGGCGGCCTCCTTTAACCATTCTGCCAGTCAAGGGTGGGAGCTGCTGATACTCCACCCCTCCCCAACATGCAGTTTACACCAACACCCCCAGGGACAGATAACACAAGTACTACGCAAGGTAAAAGGGGCTTGGGCCCCAGTCTTCCAGGGTTTATGGAAGAATGGGGGCAATATTTTCGTGAGAGCCGTCCCTGTTCCCTCGGCAAGCTCTTAGAGGAAAGCGGGAAGCGGCTGCTGTTGCATGCTCCAGCCAACAGACACCGCGGCACCACCTCGGAGAAGTGTCCCATAACGATCTTAGCGGCGATGTGCGACTGACAGGTCATCATGCAAGACCTTGCTGCAGGTTTTTGGATCCGCTGAGGGCTGAGTCCCGCCTGACTGTCCGAATGTTCCCTGAAACTATGCGACAGTTCTCGTGGTTTGAACCTGCTTCATCAGCGGCAAAAACTCCGTAATCCTGAAATGGGGGAAACACTTCCGGGACATGATGCGAAGGCACAGTCACCTTGGGAATAGCTAAGATCTGGGTTATACTTTGATAGAAATGAAGAAGTTGAATGTACTTTAGAAATATATCCGCACATAGCCTATTTGTAGTAATATATTCATATTATATCTCCTCTCCTCTATGCTGACGGCGGATTAGTCCAGCCTGATAAATTGCCCACACGCAAGCTGTGTCAAACTCCTTATTATATGTATCCAATTCATCTTGTGACAAAGAAACCATCTCCTCCACTGATAGCATGTTAATGTCACCGTCAGAGTCTAGGAATCTCCATGAAAACTTCCCGATCACTCTAGAGCTGACGGCTTCGCTAATGTCTAGTTTATCTATGCAAATAGTTAACCTAGCTCAGTGTCTATTGCGGGAGCACACAAACTTATCCGTGCCGTTTTGGGTGGAGGCTAGCGTTTCCTTGACACAGCGCGCGATCGCGATCTTCGTAGAGCCTGGATGGTCTCGGCATTCGACTGAGCCTCACTCGCTTTCCGCGTCGGCGTCTTAATTCGTTTTGAAACTCTAACAGAGATGCTGGTCGGCTGCCTTGAGTTTGCAGATGCAAAATCCAGCTGTGGTTGATGGAGTTGCGATTCTGACCGCACGATATTCTCTGTGAATTTCGCCACTGATCCAACTTCTCTCTCTTGAGGATGATCCATAATGTCTATACTTCAGTTTAGTACAGTCCTATCCGGGTCCATTTAACACTTACATTTCTATCCGTTATCGGATCACTTGCCAACTCAATATAACCCTCCGTAATGTTGAAAGTACCCGACGGAGCCTCAGGGGAACTCGGCGATAGTTGGGTGAAGTCCGTGAAGATTTGTAGGCAAGGGACAATGGGTACCAAGAAAGGGGGTTTGGTGTCGAAAGATGAGGAAAAAGGAGAGGGTACAATGTCCATTTAAGCAGTCCAACGGAGAGCTTCAGGCCGGGAGTCCCGTGGCCACTACGTCAAAAAGGTTCGGATGTTGATTCACTCACCTGTACATCCCCTAAATGAAGAGGCGGCCAAGAGCCAGGCCTCCCACCAACTCAATATCCACTGACTCTCCTTCCATCACATTCGATACGCCCCTGACCCCAACCTCTAGTATTCGTTCCCTTACTGAGAGGCCCTCTATTATTGGTTACGACAGGGCTAATTGTCACCGACCGGCGCATCCTGAGACGGACTCCTCCTCAAAATGCGCCTCGTGTATGCGCGGATCAAACCCACGCCGTAGAGTTCTCGGGCTGTGTACCACCCTTGGATCCTAAGCAAGGGTTTAGTTGACTAGAATCATCTTCTTCGGCTTTCGACACAGTTCCTTGAGTTACTTGGTTGGTGAAGAGGTGGTCTCCATGGCTGAGCCGTTAATGTGAGCTGAGAACGAGACCCATGTCCCCTTAATTCTTCTGACTGCCACCCCTCGCTTGGCATGATCATGCCGATGTTCTCCTCAGCCTCTCCATGACATGATCTGACTGACGTGTTGAGGCATAATTCCTGATTCTCAAGTCTGCCTTGCCTTTGTGCAGGTGCATCGAGTGATACCAGCTCTAGACAATAAGTCAAGCACATATGGGGGGAGGGAATCCAACCATTGAGTAGCGTGACTCCCTGAAGTTCCCCTATGCAGAAGGTGCCCCTTTCCCCTCGACATACTTGTAGTAGCCACTCTGCAATGTCTCAGCCAACATATACCATGGCACTACCCCGGAGGAGTGTTCCATAACGATCTTAGCGGCCATATGTGACTGACAAGTGATCATACAGGATTGTTGAAGGGCTACGGATCCGCTGACGGCTGAGTTCTGCCAGACTGTCCGAATGCTCCACGGAAAGGCCACGTACCTGGTGTGTGATTCCTTGATGATCTTCCCCCAATGCTGAATCTCGTCATAGATGGTGAGAACGACTTGCATGGTTCATGGTCCTCTTTAACCTTAACGCAAGAGGGGTCTGTCTAGTGGAATGAGCGTGACAACAGTGCATGGACGAGAACTACCGAATGATACACCACGAGCCTACGGAACATGGTAACAGAGGCTATTGACCTCAGTAAATGCCGCAAGATCACATCTCCACCACTCTGCATCACGATACACCTCCCATGCAAGGATCAACGAAACCTGGATGTAGGCTTAAGGGGGCGGGGGCGTTGCTGAAAATAGAAGGACACGCAGCCAGGTTGATCTCTATTTATACGTCTGGTATCTCCCAAATGTTCTATCGTGACTGAAAAATAGCTGTATTATTATGACCTTAACTTTTATCACGATGAGTCTCACACATTTTGTATCGACCGCGTTGACCACGGCATTCGTCCTCAATGCCGCAGCGAATTTATCAACATCTATCAAGGTCATCCTGCGATATCGAAACACTCAACGGAGCCGTCGAGGGACAGGCTCAGTTTCCGTGATCCATCCATCTTTATCTACAAGATATCCTCGTGCATTCACAGCGGTGGTTCTGACGCACTGCGCGATCGCTACCGGACTCGCACTTGCATTCGCAGTTCTGATGCAAGAACGTGGAGATCCTTGGTCTATATACCTGAGCTCTTCCATTATCGTTTCCAGCATGATTAGAGAAGTAAGTGCATATCCTGGTCCTGGTTCAATTCTAACGATCGAAAGTGCTTGTGTGTTGGCGGTTCTTGGAGCCCAGGACAGTGTGCATTTGCTCCGTGGCCCCTCGCATTTCTCCTGGCAACCACTGGGGTGCCATTTCTCGTCAGCACCATACTAAATTCCCGAAGTGCAGTGTTCAATGAACTCTCAGCAGCATCAGCTATTACTTTCCGGTGCTGGATGGTGTTAGAGTGGATGCTCATTGCATCGTGCACTTCACGTCAGTTTACGAAAATCAAGACCGTCATGCTGATTGAAACTTTGGCCCTGATGGCCAGTGCTATGGCTTTGAGAACGGAATCAGCGACAAGCAGGCACTTGGTACGTACTGAGCTTCTAGCCTAGACTAAACTTACATTGGTAGATTCTTTCGAATGCTTTTGGAGCCCAAGACTTTCTCGTGTGCCTTGTACCGGTTGTTGAAAAGTTATGGTGTTTCAGACGGAGACCCAACCCCGACTTACTACCACGACTCCTGCAAAGGACAAGGCCTAGAGCATCCTCACCAGGGGCATCGAGCCAAATCCAACTTCGGGACATGTCCATCACAAGCTAGTCAGAGGCGAAATAAAGCACGCAGTCACGAATGATAATGGGAAGGGTCAGCATAGCTTTGAACTTTGTGGGCCAGTGAGGGTAAAGGGGTTTGACGCCAAAGTATGCTGGGATTGTGGGAGGGAAGTTATTTGATAGCCAAATAAGACCTTCCACTCTTTGGAAAGACACACCTCAGTGACCATGACCGCGTCATGATCTGGCTTGAGGATGGGATGCCAACGCTACCCAGAGGCACCTACGTCGGTGATCCGCGTCCCAGAAATCGACGTCGTTGTGCCGTCGCCCAAGGGGGGCCGCGTAAGATGGGCGGACTACTTGCTCAATACTATCCAAGCTTATTGGTCTTCACCCTGCTCGTCGCCATGTTGTGCAAGCACCTCGAACAGCTGCGCGCTCTGGGCCTCGGAGTTGGTCCGCCAGTCCCCCAGCCGTCTGGAGTACTTAAACCCCTTCCTGCCCCCTCTCCTCTTCTCCTCCTTTCTCATCCTCGTCCACCGACCGAGCGACCCTCGACAAGCAACGACCGACCACCCACCACTCACCCTAGCCAGCGGCACCACCACCGCAATGGCCTCTGAACGCCAGGTACGCACCGTTGTGACTTGGAGAGCCTGGTGCTGACAGTCTCAGCTTGACCATGTCGACCTCGAAAGTGGATGGCTTCAAGTCCCCATCGAAAACGACCAGCTCCGACCTTACATCACCACCAAGGTCCAAGCCAATGCATCAGTTCTTCCGCCTCAACGCCTCACCTGCTTTCACTTTTCCAACAACCTCCTGGGAAAGCTCGCGAAGCGCGCCGACGCTGTCAACGCCTTTCTCGCATACTCAAGAGGCCAACTTGCTCTCGCACCATGCACCAACTGTCACGAGAGCTATAACCGTGATGGCAGCGCCATGCCCTTCCCGGATTGCGTCTTTCTCCCGACCTACTGGGGCTTCGCTTGTGCCTCTTGCATCGCACGCCACCGTGTTATTGAGTGCTCTTTCAACATCCTTCGCACCGAGTACCTCGATCGATTTTGGGAGAAGGTCCAGGTCGCGATTGATGACCTTGGCCTAGCGGCTTTGAGATGGCTGGAACGAGGACATCCGCTGTCGACCTTCGATCCGCACCGTCCTCAAACCATCTGGCAATGTTGTCGACATTCGGGAAGCGATCTCGCCCACGAGTTGGCACAGCCCGTACAGGAGCCCTCCTTTGTGTTCCCGCCCGACACCCCTAACGCGAGACTCCCGAATGGTGGACCGGATGTTTCCGTATCCAGCCGTTCCCATCTGGGAGACCTGAAACTCTTGAACAAAAAGCTTTGCGCCAAGAAAAACATCATTATCATCAGCGGCGCCGGCATCTCGACCAACGCAGGCAGTAAGTCCCGCTTCCATTCCACTGTCAGCAGCCCCTTTGAACTGAACTGAACAGTCCCCGACTATTGGAGCTCCTCCCGCTCAAAGAAATCCAGCCGCATCGTATACGACGCGTCGGCCTATTCTGCACTGGAGTCGGCCGATACGCTGCACGCCGATGTCTTGCAGAAGTTGCGGTCTGGCCGAAAAGCCCCGTTCACCCCATTCGATACCTTCGCCGAGCGCCTGGCTCAGTCTGATCATCTTCGATACCATTACACCCAGAACATCGATTGTCGCCAAACTAGGCTCCCTTATCTCTCCCAGAGGACAGTGTGGCTCCATGGCCGGGCGGACACACTAGTCTGCCACCTAAGACCTTCACACACTATACGGGTTACTCCACGGTCCTTCCCACGATGGGTTCTGGCCCCCTGCCCTTTGTGTAAGAAAGAGCAGAGGAAGCGGGTCATGACACGCAAGCGAAGGCGAGCTGTGGGATTTCTCCGACCAAGTGTTCTTCTCTACGGAGAAAATTGTCCTGGCGAAGACGAGATCACGGCCGCATTCAACCGCGACCTGACACAGCCCATCGACGCCGTCCTAATCGTCGGGACAAGGTTGTCAATTCCTTCGCTAGCGAATTTCACTGAGCGTCTCTGTAAGGTGGTGAGGGCAAAAAGTCCGGACAATCTGGTCATATGGGTGAGCAAGGAGTCACCAAAGCTTGGGGAGGGCTTCCAGTCTCTCATCAGCTTTGAGTATCTCGGAGACTGTGACGATTTCGTTTCGATGATGTCTATATAGATGGAGTCTTTGTAATGATTAACTCTCTGCCTACCGAACCCTTGCAAATTGTTGAAGGAAGCCCACGGCCGCCTACGGCGGCTGTGGCCTCAGGCAGCCGGGACCTCATACAGGCTCCAATTCCCTCGCCTAGCTAGCTAGTGATGATAAACAAGGCACACATCGTTGACCTCTTAACACAAATCAATCGTCTGAGGTGGCATACGCCTTCAAAATCCGCGGGAACGGCGGCGAGGTTTATCCGATCGCGCAGGAAAGGTGTCACGTGCAATAGAACGTTCCAGAACCGGCAAGTGACATGCTGTTCACTCCCTACTCGTTTGAACCAGTCAACGCAATCAGGCAACCGAAAGCTCATCCCAGTTGCTTGGGCTCTTGGGGAAAAATCCTAGCTGGCGAAATTTCGCTGGAGGGGTCTACTCTGGGGCCTCGAAAAATCCCGGCTGGGCAAATTTCGCTGGAGGGGTCTACTCTGGGGCCTCGAAAAATCCCAGCTGGGGAAATTTCGCTGGAGGGGTCTACTCGAGGGTATCGAAAAATCCTCGTCTGGGAAATTTCGCTGGCGGTGTCTACTCGAGGACCTCGAAAAATCCCAGCTTGGGACCCACTGTGTACGCTTTTGGCCCCCTTCCAACCGTCTCGCTCATACTAGTCCCGGTTTTTCGGCGTCCCAGTCCATTCGTACTGCGACATTCCCCGTACCGGTCCTGCATTTCCCGTGTACTGGTACGGTTTGTCCCGGTACGGTCAGTACTGGTCCCACCGCTCCGACGTACCAGTCCAATTTGCGTACCAGTAAGTCCTTGTGCACCTACCCGTACGCGTTTTGTACCTGTCCACCCGTACCGGGACAGTTTCCATACTGGTCCCCTAATCTGATAGGACCAGTCTATCCGTACCAGTACGCTTCCTGTACTGGTCCTGTCAATTCGCTGTACCGGTCGCGTAAGCGAATCATGTCACCGCTATTGCCCTTGTCAATTAGACAAGCAGGATCACTACCACTGTACCCACTGTCGAATGAACTTCAACAGCGAAGCCGGCGTTATCAGTCACCTGGAGAGCCTGCTAATTCACCCGGTTCTAGGAGGTTCAGGAACAGATTTGATTCGCTTAGTCGAAGAGACGGTTTACCCAGATAGGCCCTGGCAAACTTTGGCGGGTAGTGCTGTTCGATGTTCTCTCTGAACATCGAACAGCCCCAGTTATCTCGCATGAGATGTCGGAGAGCAGCCAATCATATAGATCGCTGGGGCTGTGAAAGGTTCGAGAAGGTTCGATGCCTGAGTCACATGATGACTCCACCAATGACGTACGCCAACTCCGATGCGTACCCAGGTTCCTGCATCGGCAGATCGGCTAAGGCGGGAGTTCGCATACTTGGCATACGCAGATCTACGGAGGCGATGCGCTGCTCACGTTGTTCGAGAGAAGCAAGACCAGGAGGAAGTGGTGCCTTTTTGTATCTTGCGAGGCGGGTTTCCGTTTCACTCTTATTCAAGAGTGGCAAAGCAGGATCATGGGATCTAAGTTGGAGTAGACAGGGACATTACCAACTCATGGGGCTATCGGGACCAGTCCTGGTGCAGCTTGCCACGACCAATGTCGATGACAGGCGGTCGACCACGGCAGAACCGCTCCACAGCGACCAATGAGGATTGAATGAATGAAATTTATTCCGCCCGGGAGGACAAACCCCATAGGGCTAGGACGCTAGGCTATTTCCTTCTTGCCTTACTTCTGACAGGCCTGTTTGAAGGCCAACCCCTCTACAAGTGTTCAGCCTCAGCAGCGGAAGTCCAAAACAGAAGGGAATCATCAAATTAGGCGGTTTGAATTAAAGTAAAATGTTCAATATATATCCGCGTTTGGATGTTACAAATATATCTTCCGAGCATGGAATAGGTGGTTTGGCAGAACAGAATGACAGGTTGTTATCACGTGAAAACAAATACATTGACTGTCTGATCTCCTGAACTCAGTCCAGGCGATATTGGCTAATTACATGTGCTACACATGGTAAGGAATGATTCTTTAGCACCAAAAGTTCCAAAACTTCAAAAACCAAAGGAGATGTTGCTCATGGTTGGCGGACGCTTTATCCCTTCTAGACATAGCATCATCACAAGAGCCAGCCCCTTTGCTCCTCTTTTCTTGCAAAGTACGCGCTACCCAGTCTTCCACATTCTCCAGAGCGCAGCTGGGAGAGTCCCTGTACTGTACGAGGAAGGACAAGATCTCGGCCGGGCTGAACTCGTGCTCTGGCACCTTAGCGGCAAATTCATCCGCAAATCGTTCAACCATCAATTGATCTTTAGTTCGCCTCTCTGTGTTCAATCCAACTTCGTTTGGCTGCTCAAACACGAGACGGTATATTTGAGTGGATAAGTCCCTGTCGACAAGTTGGAACTTGACCTCCCTGTCAACACGCCCAGGTCGAATGAGCGCGTCATCTAACTTCTCGATATGATTCGTTGTCATGATGAGCAGCCGACCCTCTTGGGAGGCCACACCGTCGATAGCATTGAGCAGCCCCGACAGCGTCACTGAATTCGTGTCCGCGGATTTTCCCCTTTCGCTGGCAATCTCACCACCAGCATCACGAGAATGTGTCGCACCAGCGGCATCAATATCCTCCAGCAGGACGACGCATTGTGGAGGGAGCTTGGCGAACAGGTCCTCGAGCGTTCGGTCATTGACAGTCGATACGCTGACGGCGTAGATATCTAGACCAAAGCGACCAGCCACGGACAAGCTCAAGCTAGACTTTCCAGTTCCAGGAGGACCGTGTAACAAGTAGCCTCGTCGATAAGGCATGGATCGCGTAGAGTACCATTGTCGAGTTCGCAGATTAAGGAAATCCTCAACGTCTTTGATGAATGATTGTTTTTGCGCGTCACCTAGGATGACGGTCGACAGCGGTCTGGCGTCTACCGCTGTCGCTCGCTCCCAACGGTCGTTGCGGTGTTTGAAAACAGCCGTCTTGTTCTTGATGAGATTGAGATATTCATCTCGACACTCAATCAAGAAATTCTTCAGTGCCGTGGAAGATCGTCCCAGGCACGTAATGGAGATTTCTTCCTCCTTATGAAAGCCGACATCCCTCAGCGAGGTCCGATATGAGAGGAAGGTATTGTTGTAACGGAAGATGAAGCTGCCATACCAAGGCGAGAAGCTGAGCGCTTTCTTGGCCTCGCCTGTATGGCCTTCTCGGCCTCTTTGCTTCTTGACTCGTGCAATGGAGGATCGAGCGGCGTTATCAAGACTTCGAGAGGAGACCCGCTCCAGAACCATGTTGTACGTTTCGTCAGAGCGTTGCACATACACGGTGGATGCTTATAATACGTTAGGATGAGCTGTTGTGGATTGAAGTGGAATGACTGACTAAAATGGTCTTCGAGCAATACCCTCAACTTATGGGTATAAGTGCCGAAGAAGGCAAGCAACCCAAAAAGGCACATCAGGTGAGCATAGCTGCTAAGGTCTCCAGCTAGAAGCTGTTGAATGGTGCTTGAAATGTGGGAGAACCCCGGGAAGAAGATGTCCAAGATGGACATTTGTTGGAATGGGGTCTCTTGGACGAGAGGAGGGCTGGTGTTGCTGGATGGTGTCATCATTGGGAACTTCCTGGTGTTAAGGAAAGGCAGTGCAAGTTAAATGTGGAAAGTTGAAGTAGAGAGCAAAGCAGGATCGAGAGGCAATGTTAAAAGGTTGGGGCTGCACGCTGAATGTAAAGCTGAGTGAAGATGTCCTTCCTTCGAGGAGAGCATCTGGCATTCTTATACTTTTCAACGGCCCAGCTTCGGATCACCTTTGGACCGCACAGCGTGCCGAAGAGAGCAACGTTTATCATAACCCCAGCCAAACCCCCCACACTCCATCTGACAAGCTGATGGAATTCAAACCGGGCTGCTGTGCATTAGGCCGAGTTCGATTATCCCCACAAGGAGGCGTTGCCGATGGTTACGCAACCCGTATCATGCACGTTCATGGCACGCATACACGCTAGTGACTTTTTGCAACCAACACGGATGATCATCACGGCTCTCCAGCATGCATATTCACTGTTCTACGTGTCTCCAATCATCAGAGACGAGCACCGGGCCGCGACGCATGGGTCTGCGCGCGCAAAGTGATACCGGCCATGTCTTGCATTAGACTTGATGTTAGGTCACTCCCGGATGGGTTTTCCGGGTACCTCTCATGTGCCGTGCCATGTATCCTTCAGCGGACAAGAGCAATTTACATGCCGTAGTGGGAATACCCATGGTTTAATAATAGCGGCCAGTTCCAAGGAGGAAGTCAGAGGTAGTGGAAATTGATCACAGTGGCACCATCAGGAAGTAGGATGGATTTATGGATTAGATAATGCAGCCACTGCCTATTCTTCAGTCTGCCTTGCTATAACCTTCCACCGTTTCGTCCGTGGCGAAGGTTCTGCTAGTGAAGATACCAGAGTCTACATCTCCACCCCCCCTCCACTTCCGCCTCCATTCACAACGGTCGTCGGCTTCTATCCGTTGTTCTTCCATTGTGAACTTTTACTCAACACTGGAGAGTGGTTTGCCAGCCATATAGTGTGCTTTCATGTCGATGAGCCTATTCAAAGAATATTTAGTGACATGTAATGCCTTGCTATGATGTCACTTACCCGAAGTTCCAGGCACGGGCTCCGTTTGCTCTCCTGTGATCAAACTGTCCGTCGAAACGTCGGAAATGTTTGGCGGCGGTGATGGCGCTGGTGGTTTCGGCGAGGCTTCTTTTTGAGACATGGCAAGGGAAGTCATGTGTGAATGATAAACAAGGAATGCCGATAGTCAACTTGGGCCTTGTCAACAATTTGAGCTGGCAGCCCCAGTAGTATTGGTCAAGTGTGACTAGACGCTCAAGAATAGCAAGATGGAATAAAAGTGCCACTTGAGAAGGGTCAGATCACGACAGGCTTGAGCCAAGTGGCGAGAAAGACAAACAAGATTGGAATACTAAGGTGGACCGGAGTTCAAACTGGTGAATTTAGGATCTTCTCTTCAATTTGGACGGGCTGCAAAGCCTCTTATAGCCGATGAGAGCTCAAGAGGCCTCTGGCTTTGGGCAAACCCGGTGTATCTCAGGGGTTCTCAAGAAGCAGCCTACTTCACAGACAACCCAGCTATCTGCAGGTGCGATGGAACGGCAAAGACCGATCGGTTGCAGGATGAACAGCACGACAACGCCAGCCGGGCCACCGTATGTGGCCCCCCGCTTGTTCTGTTCTAGTCTACCTGCGGTGTGGTTGCGTGTCGTCCTCAGCCCGGTTTGCATCATAGGCCGAGGATAAGCTAACCAGCTATTAGATTCAACTCAATGTCCTCCATCTTTAACCACCAGACGCGGACTGTTTGCTCAGCCTGGAATTTCAGTTCGTTTATGCAAGTGATCGGAGGCGTCCCCACGGCCGCCAGGACTACAGGGTGGTGTTGGCCAAATGTGACATGCACTTTCCCTGAGAATATCAGCCCGGACCAAAGTAGTCACATACGTCTGTCCAATTGGGACATAGATTCCGTTCCTCAACCCCTACCGCACGCTATCGACAGCTCATGCATTAGCCATTGATCGATGATCTGTGATGATATACGGTCAGAGTCGACCATGCATAGGCGACCACACTCGAACAACGGACGACTATCCCGGTGAGGTTGTTGGTCGACATCTCACCCTTGGTCGCCCCATGCAGTACGAATTGGTCTCATTGAGGTCGATTCTATCTGCAGCAAGACGCGGTCATGGAGAAACGAGCTGCAAAGAACCATCAACCTTTATGCCATCAAATGCAGTTCGCACACCTATTTTGTCCTAGTCTAACTTTCACGTGGTTGCGCGTCTCGGCCAAGCTGCAGCACAGACGCCGCCGCGTGTATTGCAATCGCTTCCTGTTGGACGATCTCGCACGATTGCCATGCAGGCCAGGGTGAACTCCAGCGGACGAGGGAACTTCACAGTTAGAACGGTTGCTCAAACTTCCAAAGGAGACCTAGTTGGTTGCGTTAGAGCGCTTACAGCAAGGCACTGCAACCCCCCCCTCGTACGTGAACCATCGTCCCACCCGTCACGCTAAGATGAGGAACATTGGCACTCCGAGCCGCTATACCTTAGTTGACATGGCTTTTTCCTACTTTAGATCAGACACTTCGTGACCATATTCTCTCAGCCGTCCCCTTAGGCTCAACCGATCGATCGCTTATACTGAGAATGGGTACTTGTAATTTCAGATAACCACACACTGCACCAATACAAATAGCGCTACGTGCTATGCCAGAGTTTAATTCATCTCAATGCCTTAATTCGGTTGTAGGTCGGTGACTGGACAGCAGCGAACCACTCGGCTGCATCGGAAGTGCTATTGCCCAAGCCCCGCCAAGTAAGTCGCAAATTTGGAGTTCAAGCAGCCCACGACAGCGTGGACAGCCATGACGAGGACAGCCCCCCGATGCGTGGACAGCCCCCCGATGCGTGGACAGCCCCCCGATGCGTGGACAGCCCCCCGATGCGTGGACAGCCCCCCGATGCGTGGACAGCCCCCCGATGCGTGGACAGCCCCCCGATGCGTGGACAGCCCCCCGATGCGTGGACAGCCCCCCGATGCGTGGACAGCCCCCCGATGCGTGGACAGCCCCCCGGTGCGTGGACAGCCCCCCGACAACCCAGAGTCGCGTGGCCTAATGTGATTCGTTAGTGACGTAATTGATGGTGTGATCAGGGAGCAAGTGACGGTTCACATGTCACGTTGGCGACGCAAACGGCGGGAGAAAACGTTCGTTAAACGGTCAAGATCCAACATCCCATTGTCAACACCTAACTAGATGCAAAAGTAAAGTGAACATCTCTGGGCAATATACATGTTCGGGCCCCCAAATCCCCTAAGAGCGTAAATATGGCGTTCATAATAGCTTGAGTGGCAAGAGGAAAGGCCGCGAGAAGTGCTAGGATGCTCACCTTCAACCTCCCGAGAGAACATCATAGGGTTCTACTTCTTTGGGTCATGGCCACAGGTAGGACATGTGGTACCTGAAATGCCTTCACCACCACAAAGTTCGCACTTCGACATTTATGAAATAGTCTTGCGGTGAAAAGAATTCGATATGAATGTTGATCGCAGCAGTTCCAAAAAGCGTACTGAGCTCACGAGCTTTAAAATAACGGAAGCGCGACGTATGATTAGGAACCTTTAAGACATGACTCAACGAGGCTTTTAATGACCTCACATGAGCGCCATGTGCAAAGCCGAAACTCGGCACGGATTATCGTATTTTCCGTATCCAAAGACAAGTTGCCCCTCCAACCCTTCGCCCTTTCGTGACGGGTTCGTTCTTCCACAACAAAGATGAGATCATGACGAACAATCACAACCGGTGCGCCTGCTCTGCGTCATTCCCGTCAACCGAATTGCTAGCAGACCACCTAGCTGAGATTCGAGTAGGTGCTATGCCCGCAGCTGGACCTCAACTGACTTGACGCAGTCCCAAGAACGCTACCACGCTACTCAATTAGAGCGATGTCGCAGACACTTGGTTAGCGACGACTCGATCGACGAAGAACATGTCGAAGCGCCTCGCGACCCCAATCCCGAATCCAAAATTTGTCCGTTTCCGAATTGTAAGCGAACGAAGCTGTTTGCCACGAATTACAAACTCTGGCGTCACGCTGCGCAACGTGAATATCGTCCTCTGTCTGTGCAATTGCAGCGGTCAGTAACGCGTTGAATACAGACGTCAGGTGTGGGGAAGTATGCGTGATTTGTTTCAAGCCATTCGAGTTCGCAAGCGAGATCATCCGACATTGCGAGGAAAATCACAGGACCGAGTCTGGCAGAAAAGCCACATATATGAAGGAAACGTTAGAGGAAGTTTCACGTCGCGTGACTTCTGAGTTGTACGCTGCAAAGGCTGCCTTCATGGAGAGGTCCATCCTCGGCTCGAAGAGCGAGAGCAAAAAGAGGACTCGAGATGAGGCAAGCATGGACAGTGAAGGGTCAGAAGCTCAGGGGGAAAAGTCCGATGCGCTGACTGCACAAGACTCACAATGTCACACTACTGGTATTGTCTCCCATCCGATACACCAGCTGTCCTAACAAAAAGCCAGAAGATGCGAGCGCATTGCCTCCCTTACCAATGAATGCAGGCTTCCCATCGATAATGCCTGCCTCTGAAGTCATCGGACCCCAAGGCAGTGACGAGTTGCATAACAGCTCGGCCCAGCTGGTTTACTACCATCCGATACAAGAGAGTACTATGGTCGATCCTTACAACGCTCGTCTCTTGCAGATGGTCAGCTCTGTTCCGTGTCCGGCTGATTTCGACTGGGCGGAGACCGGAGGGTGGGGCGATTCGAGAAACGTAATATGAGTGAGACACGATGATTCACGCGCTTGTATCTTTGATAGCAAAGTTCAGCCTGATCTTGGGTGTTTCCATCTTGACGGCCAGACGGACGAGCTCGGGGGAATTTGCGAGAAGGATCTTCGGCCAGCCGGAGAGGGCATCCTCTACCGCAAAAAGGAACGTTATTGCGTATCCCTTCATTATTTCGGCGTACGTTCGAGCATCTCGGATAATTCTAATGTTGGATTAGCCACCTTCACCGTAACTTGCAGAGGGGGTTAGCTGACAGGCCTCCCGATTGGAACTTCTTCGACTCGACAATGCAGCCCGCCTTTTCAAGTTCAAGTCGAGTGGTCTCGTGCAAGGATCGGATGCCATCCGTCGTGGGTAGACCATGCAAATGCGAACCGTGCCAGATCTCAACCTCAGATTCCTTGCAGAATTGTTGGACGACAAGAACACGTAGGCCAGCCTGTTTGCCACCCCTCCTGAAGCACTCGATATGGCCGGGCTGAGCACTGTATCGAAGCCAGTGTCCGAGGCTGCACTCGCCGAGGGAGGATTCGACAACGACTCGAATACGCTAGAAATCATGGCAGACGTCAGTGAAGTGATGCAAATTAAACCCCGCGGAGCTTCTTACCTCGTCTTCGAGGATGTGTTCCTTGCAATACTTGAGTCCAAATGGTGTCAGGTACGGAAAGTCCCTCCTCTCCATCTCCAAAACAATATCACCCACTGTCGCATCCTCTAGGTCGACGAACCCTTCATCGAGAAGGACTCGTTGCGCCGTCTCGGGGGAGAACATCGTTAGCTCCGCGAAGTGCTGCAAGACTTGCGGGTTCTCTCTCTCGACGGATTCGAGCTTCTCGGTCTGGGCAGAAAGTTGTAAACAGATCTTTAGCCCCTCCTGAGTACTCTGCTTCTCCTCCAGCATAGCCAGCCATACAGGGTCCTCTCCAACAGAGCGCTCGGCTCCAGAAGCAGTCAAGTCTTGTACTCTTTCCTCCAGCCGTTTCATGTGCTCTTGTAGATCGTTCGTCGTATCGCGTATTAAGTCCTTATATTCTTCGAGCGCGTTGGGCGTTACCGAGGTAATCGCACGCCTGTAAAAGTCTCTCCGATCAGTCGATTGCATAAATACAAGCCTGGAGTTGGTGTTTGAGGAGGTGTGATGATGGTCGGTGCCGGCGATACTTTCCAACTGGCTGCAGCGGAGTTTTTTTTTCCGAGTTTCACATTTAGCCGAACATTAGCCACAATGTGTCACCGTTTTCTATCAACACCGTTTTTTATCTCACCAAAAACCGTTTTTATCCATCACGTCGGTGCCCCACTACAGATTGCAAAGAACATTGTCGCCGTGTCACACGGCGGGGCGAAGCCGCAATCCAACATGAGGCAATGAACGGGTCTGGATCCAGGCCAATGACCAGTAAGATGACCGACTAACTGATCTGTCAGCAGGTAACTGCCAACAGCCAACAGAAATCACGCTTGAGGGAAAAAGGAAAGCGGGGTACACATCATCTGATCTAAGCTCAAGTATTTCTACCTGTCGCATCACTACGATCTCCCTGTGCAGTAACTCCCAATACTTGAATGAGGGCCGGGTTGATGGCTGGAGGTCAACCGGCGCTACTGTCTGGTGAATGCAAGCCATGTCAACCTGCGTCGAATATTGGAGCTATGGCACTGGTCCGCGATGCGCTGGTTGACCATGGCACAACCTTGCTCGTCTTCGAATATGTTTATATGAGCAAGCTTCCGGCGGTCGAGCCGGTGATGGGCTATTGACCAGCGCCGATTATCCTACGAGGAGAGCTAAACCTCCCTAAACGGTCCCAATAATCCAACAGGTATTCTCTTCCACGTGATGCTTCTCTATGCTCAGCATTTGACAAATTTAAGCAGGTGCCATGTCTGCCAGCTCGGGGCTGCGTGGTACGTGCAGTGTTTGCTCACACATGTACAATGAGCATAACCGATACCGATGTACCGGGAGGGACAAAAAGAAAGTTGACAAAAAAAAACACCAGTGGGTGCAATGTACCGCAAGATGGTATGTATGCCAACAGGGTAACCATGCGTTCATGGGGGACCGAAAGAATGCCTACTTGGTCTGCCATGATTGTAAGTCCCATCCTGGTGGGGGACCTGATGGAACGGGGCCCGAGGGCTCATATGCGACGGCCGACGATGCTCAGACCTACGATGTCGGCGAAGAAGAACAGTGGCAGTGGGACTCCACATACCAACGCTACTACTATGTGGATGCCTATGGAAACACTGTCTGGGCCGACGATCAGGGGCAGTCGTCATCATCAAACTGGCAGCAGTAGTATCAGAGCGAGAGTTAGATTCAGATGCTGAAAGATTGTTGATTTTTCTATCTAATGAAGATCTAAAAGGGTCGTCAGTGGCTTCGGTCATCCCTAACCCTCAAACTCCAATGGCCTTAATGGTCTCCAACCGTCTGGCTGACCCTTTAACCTCTTACATCCGGCGGTCATGACCTCACGATGGCCTCGTAGTCTGACAAATGGGACCGACCGGCTGAACCCTTTTTTCGTGATATCTTTACTTATGTGCTTAGCTCGCCCTCACTTCACATTTATGACCCATTCCTTGACGTTGGCGAGGATGCTACCAGAGGAACCGTGACAAACATCAGAGCTTGAATCAGCTTCGTTGTCCTCACACATTTCTAGGTCCGCCAGTGCGTCGACCCAAGGATGTGAATATATGTCTTTTCCGCTGACCTCCATCTCTGTAGCAACCCATCGAAATATGTCGCCAACCGCCTTCTCCGAGGCTCTGTGATTGGGGGTATATCCTAGTGTCGGTGGGCAGCCCTTGAGCAAGCCCAAGTGCGATTCACCTGCGAAACGCAGCAAACTTTCCTGTTCCCCAGGACTCTCATCCACGACCTCAGTCCCGTTATCCAGGAGCCAAATCCATCGAGCATACACCCAGTGGTGCCTCTCACAGTTGATGTGGGTGCGTACTCGGATTTCTAGTTCCTCGACACCCATCGAACCAAATGGCGGCCAAGGACACATAGGGGGATTTTGAAACGGAGTGCCCTCCGGCTCAACATCCCAGCACTCATGACGTAGTCGCCATACGTCTTTTCGACTAACCAGATCGCCCGCTTGTACGTAAGGCCCTGACTCGTAGAGGTCCATGAACGACTGGGGAGAACCCGTCCATGCAGCAACTTCCGGTAGCGGCCTTGAAGGCACAGGAGTATGCAATGATTGCAGAAAGGGGATGATGGCAAGGATTGTTTTCGTGTGTCCACAAGCGGCTATGCCGTACCATAAGGCTGCGATATTTGGCCGGCGGAGCGCAAGAATATGACCTAACATCTCGAGGTTGCCTTCGTCAATCAACGGTTTGACCACCTCGATGATTGGATCACACCAGGGGCTGACCACATTGCAATCCACCCCCGGTTCCCAAAAGATGGACCAAAGCGCCGACGACAGGAAGACGGGGTTTGAGCTGAGAGTCATGTAGTGAGATAGATTGCTGTACTCTTGATCAATGATCGAAGGAGAGGTTAATGGCGCATCTTGTCCGACAAGGGATGGCTTTGGTAGGTTTACCATCGAGTAGGTCTCGTTGTGGAGCGGCAGTGTCAGAGCCATTGCAAGCGCTAGCTGAGCTTGACTTTCTAGGTTGTACATGCGAGCGAATCTAGAAAGAAAGCGCACTGCCTGCGAGCTGGATGGCGGGCCGGAATGCGGCGATTTCGATGCCGTAATTTGGGCTGCAACTCGGAATTTGATGTTGCCCGTGTATGCAATGGCCCACACCGGCTGACGACTTGCTGAGTGCCATCCCTGGCCCGGCGAGAGGAGAGACACCCACCAACGAAATTCCTCTTCGCAAACGGTTCCAATGTCTACTGTGAGCCATTGCTTGTCCCAATGATGTCCATTCCCAGGCACCTCAAATAGGTTGTGTGGGTAGCGCATTGGGATACGCTGTTTCTCGAGTAAAGTCGCGCAAAGAATGTATGCCCAACCAAAGAACAGAAAAGCGACACCATTTGACCTGCTGTCTGAATAGGAAAAGTGGCTGTGTGTTGATATCGTGCAAAGTGTCGGTTGGAGCCTTGTAAGGCCCCATCGCCGTTCTCCCTCTGTTCTGGCTTTGGAGGGGGAGACACATCCGTTGGGCTTCATTTCCCATGTCGCCTGTCCAGCGATATTATTTATGCCTTGTAAATTGTCTGGCATTGCGGGTAGTCCGTTCGTCAGGCGGGAGAAGTTGACAGTATCGCGCTGCAAGCACATCGAGCTGGCTTGTCTAGACAAGCATTGCCAGAGTTGTTGGCTGCTCGCGAAGATCCGGTCAATTTGGTCCCCGGACGGAATAATGCAGCCTTCCTGTTGTCCCTGGTGTATAGAGCCGTGACTTGTGAGAGTCGTCGTTGAGGTTGCGGTGCTTGATGACATCCTGAAAATTGTGATTGCTTGGAGAAGTGCTCCAGTGGGTTGAAGGCCGTTTTAAGCTGCGCCGGAAAATTACCCCACTCCAAAGATGAGATATTCCAGCGAGCCCGCGAGTGTCCAGACAGTGTGGCGCTCAACCTCAGACGGTGGTAGGCAGAAGGGCTCTAACGCGGAAAGGAGGTAATCGGCTTGGGATACCTTAAGGTAAAAGAGTATAAGACCCAAGGGCAAAGAAAGACGGAGTGGCGAGTGGCGAGGGAGTCCGGGCCCAGCGACCCGCCCCTTGCCCACTAATCCGGGACAGGTCTTGACGATCGTCCTACGCGTGCCACACTCCAGCCGCCCGCATAGTAGTGAGCAACCCAACGCGTCCACGACGCGCTATGCCCCACAGCAGCGCTCGGAGACCGCTGGCCCCGGACATCGACGGGAGCAAGCGCCACCACAGAACTGATTATTGTGCTCATTTTCACTGGTGCACATGAGTTTCGCTGTCCAGCCGCGGCTTCGTCAAAACAAGTTTTTACTTTCGAGCACCCGGTCTCAGACCGATGAGTATCAAGTTCAGGAAATGAATTCATTGAGGTGTCGTTATAGTGAATGCATATCCAGAACAGCACCCAGAAGAATGACTCGAGGTAGTGCATGAAGGAATGCTGCTCGTTGCCTAGCAGTGCCCCGATCGCCATGAACGCCCTTGTGCCTGTCTTTCCCTTGGCCCCCGAGGCACCCTCTCGTTGTGTTCTGATAGCAAGGTCGAGGTCAATCAAGAAGGCTCGCCGGGAAGGCTTCTCGTCGTCTTCATTCATCATAAGATTGCTGATGGAGATGTCTCTGTGGAGAAAGCCAGCCTTGCCAACGTGTCTTTGTTGCGTAGGTTGCGATACCTGCGTCTCTGGACATACCACAGATGCAGTAGGCTCTGCATCTGGTTCGTCGCTATGTTGTCGCTTGTCGGCATCCCCTCGCATGTCTGACACTCTGCCTTGCACTTGTGTTTCGCTCGAACTGATGTCCCTCGATTCGCCCGCTGAACGACCGGCCGGGTTCGGTGTTGGAGAAGGGCTGTCGTCATCTTCATTATCGTCGTCGCTGGATTGCTTTGTTTCATTTTCGAGAGGCAAGCATTGCGAACGCGTTCGAATTCGATTGCCTTTCCCTCGCGCTTTTCGGCGTCTGGTTGTTCTAGAAGCTGGTCTTGAGCTGAGGGAGACTTGTTCCATCGATTCGGAAAGGGACTCGTCGGTAATTCCAAGGTTGGTGTGACTCTCGAATGTCACTGTTCCGTTGAGACCGAGGTGACTCCTCAGGGTTGGGTCGGCGTACGTAGCGTCCATGAGCTTCTGAACTGCGTTCTCCACGACGTCCCGCTCGCCATTTCGGAGACTAATCTCGCTGCTAATCGGATGGAGCAGTGGTTTCACGTATTCCAGTTGGTGTCGAGATGGAAAGGCGGATCGGGAAGTGAATGAGGGACTGAAAGAAAGGTTGGCCCAAACTTTCTCTTGCTCTCTTGCAAATGCATCCCACGGGATGATTCGACGAGGGTAGATGCGGCCGGTCGGATTGGTCGTGTCCCCTTGGGTCGTGAGAGAACGGTCGGTCACCACGTCGATAGCGAGGCGGAGCGTCTAACACCTTGCCTCTTATAGTTAGTACCACAGGCTCGGTGGAAGGTGTCAGGCACCCAATGCACAAATAGCCTGGAGTCAGAAAGCAGCAACCCGGTCCTGTAAACTTACTACGTAGATCCCGAAACACTGAAACGGCTGGTATCCGCCTGGCGCCATCTCTCGCACCCAAAGGAAACTGACCAGGTACATATCCCCGCCTAGAGGATTGATGCGGACTTTCCAACCTCCCCGTTCCGAATCGAGCGGCTAATGGTTGGCTGATAGCATCCCGGGGAAACGAGCCGCCGACCCGCATGTAATGCACGAAACGATTCCTCTCCAACCGATCAGCCTTTCCGCCACAACCCCAACTGCTTCGTGCAGCGCCAGCTCAAACACGGACCACACGGCGACCTTCACAGCGACCTAAATATCCACCCCAACTTCCCCTCTCGATATCAGCTCTCAACGATGGGTCACTCATGGCGGGACCGCAATATCGAAAACGACAGCGCGCCAACGAGCCCTCGCAGCAAGACACGAAGCGTAAAAAAAGGCAACGCGCTGACGAGCCTGCGCAAGACGACCATCAGAGAAAGAGGCCTAGACCGGCAGTTGAACATCCCAACCCTTGGCAGTATCCGCCCGAGTTCTGGGACAGATTGTCCAAGGTCCCTCTCATCCACAGCGCCGTAGAAGAACTCGAAAGGCGCACCTGTACTCGACCTTCCTATCCTGCGCCTCCAACAAGGTTTGCCCAAGACGTTACGCCCACTGCCGTTAGAGAGCTTGCACAATTTGCGAGACACGGTGGTCCGGACTTACGTGATCTTCGAGGGTATCCTCCCGCGACAAGCAACAAACAACCCGCCGGCGCCATGAGCTCCTCCTCACGAAGCCGAGCGACCAAGTCGACCGATCCAACAACTCTCCCAATAACCTCAGGCACGACCACGACCAAGAAGTCAACAACCCCTTATAACCGCGGCTTTGAACAGCATTTGACCGACCATACTATCCACCCGACTTGGAAATCACGAAAGCCAGACTTAGAGTACACAAGGGCGGCACTAGCAGCCCCACGGCCGTCACTCTCGCCCTCGAAGTTCTCTGGCAAGGCATTTGAGACCTCTCAGGACAGCAATGCTCAGGCCAAGGATGAGGACGATGTGAAGGCATATGTAGTTCCGACCATCATCGGCGCAAGGCAAACAGATCACCCGTCCGCCATGAACACGCTATTCGGGAATCTCGACCCGCTTACGGACGGTACTCTAGCCCCGGCGAATCCGGACCTTTACTACGGTGCGTATCCTGAAGAACTCGACCGATCGATCCGCGATGAGCTTGCTGGCCACATCACCCCGTCAACCATGGTGGACAAGCCGATGGCGCCGAATTTCTTCCTGGAAGTCAAAGGCCCAGATGGCAGTGCAGCTGTGGCAACACGACAAGCTCGCTACGACGGCGCAATCGGATCTCGCGGTATACACAGTCTGCAGAGCTACGGCATGGAGGAGCCACAGTACGACGGCCAGGCCTACACCTTCAGCTCAACATACCACGATGGTTACCTCAAGCTGTACGCCCACCACATCACGGCGCCGACGATCGAGGGAGGACGGCCTGAGTATCATATGACCCAGCTTAGGTCATTTGGTATGACGGACACTCGTGAAACGTTTATCCAGGGAGCCACCGCATTCAGGAATGCCAGGGACTTGGCGAAACGACACCGGGACAGCTTCATCGAAGCGGCGAACGCTAGAGCCCCCCAACTAAGAACGGCAGTCCCGGAAGAACCCCTCGAGGCATATGAGGAAGCCTCAAGCCCTCATAAGTTGCCCGGATCTGTGGATCCCTCAGACTACGTTGCTTTGCAGGATGCTGATGATGCACTCCAGCAGCACATTGCCGACGCCAGCCATTACTCGGAAAACAATAGCGAGGAGACTCCTATTCCCCACTATCTCTACGCGGATGCCGATTCACAAGAGCCAAGCCAGGAATTGGAAGTGCTGGGCTTTGATGACCCAAGTTTTGCGTCGAGCTTCACTTCAAGCTTCAGCACCGCCAAGCGCCCTAGGCAATCACTCAGTCCGCCCTCCAATTCGAGAAGGAGTCGGTCGTCCAAGAGTCAGAAGCGGCCGAATACAGCTCGACGAACTGCTGAGTCATCCACATCCGCTACAGGGTCGGTGCGGCCGGGTTCAAGCGAGTCCCATTGGGTAGAGACGTATGGGCGCAACGGAAAGGTATACTTTACGATTGCAGAGGGCAAGGAAGTCAAGACCGACACCAAGGACTGGATGGAAGAGACAGCGGCAGATGGAACCCAATGCTTCTATTGGCAAAGCCCCGTGTCAGGACAGGCATTTTGGGCGACCGAGTTACCAAAGGAGACGAAGAAGAAGGGCCGTCGACGCTGAGAGGAAATTTGATCACCCTGACAAAGTTAACAAGGGGCTATAGTCCAGTTCTTGTATGCACGGCTGCGCCAGTCTGAGCGAGCTGGTCCGACACAACGAACAACCTGCTAACATTACATCCTACTAGCATTACTCCCTTGACGATTTCGCGAGCGTTAAGAATCTTATGTTTACCATCTAAAATTCCTTGCCTGAGCTGGCGGTGGTATTCCTCACCACCATGAGCCATGCGAGGGCCGTCGGCCAGCCCGGCTCGCGCTCAAATTGGACCGTTTACCAAGCTTCCTGTTAGCGCAAGGTCACCACGTTTGGTTGCTGGCACACATACTAGTGCATCTGAGCTAGGCTCTTTGTTCTGGAATAAGTTGTGCTGGAGCAAGTATGCAGGAACAAGTCTACAGGAACAAGTCTGCCAGCACCACAAATCCTTGCACATGCGTGCTAACCCACAATCTGCTTTAGCATAAATGGGCTAGCACAAATCTATTCTGGCACATGAGTGCCAGCACAGTTCCCTACCGTTTGCGCTTCCACCATGAACTTGCTCTGCCTACCAAAGATAGCCTACCTCTCAGCTATTCATTTCTCTCTCCGCTAAATTTGCACAAACGTGATGAAACAGATGACATCATCAGAGCCTCTTCCTTCTATTAAGGCCAGATTGCTAGCGCACGTCTGCGCACGAGATCTCATGCCTACGCACACCTGCTTGCGACTTCGGCCGCCCACGCGAATCTGCGAAGGCAGATTGCTGCTCACGTGCACTCGCACACGCTTCAACCCCCGCGGGAAATATTGATTGGACAAGGCTGCGCGTACGCTGAACCACCCAAGGTTTTGGGGCGCGCCACCAGAGTTGCACTCGTGAATTGCATTACACAAGAACCCTCCGTACACAAAAACCCAGTTGGCCTAAACTAAGCATCAGTTCATGCAATGCTCCCATACAGCTAGCTTCCCATGCAATGGTAAATGCTGAATCGAGAGCCAGAGCGACAATATGTAAGCCCAAGTCCACTGTAAGCTCCTCAGTAATTTGTGCTGAAGCGGGGCAAGTGCTGGCCTGAGGCAATGACGAAGACTCTAGAAACGGACCAAGGCCGGACTCGTGTCCAAGTGGTACAGTACTTGGGGTACATAGAGATACATACTAGGAGCCAAAAGTGGACGAAAAAGCTGACAGTCTACGGCTTCGCTTATTGACCATCAGCAAGTAGAAAGTACTTTAATGTGCCCCCATGTACACAGAATCCACAAATGGACATACAGCCGCTACAGTAGTCTGTCAGGATCACGACTAGACCCGAGTAATTTCCTGCGGGGATTATCATTCGTGACCCTGGTCAGCAGGATCACGACATATGATCCAAGTGTACTCCGTAATTGCTGAGGATACAGCCGAATCGTTCGGTAGGGCTTGTTCCTGTGTAAGGCATATGGTCATATCCAATGACACAATGGAGCAGAGCAAAAAAGTGAAGCAGACCATCGAATCTTCAACAACGCGAGGGATCTACAGCAGCACAAGAACAGCACTCCAAACCATACAAGAGTGTATGAGAATGAACGATATACTCGACCTTTACCTCCGCGCCCGGCATACGCAGAATTAGGCCTGGCTGTGGAATCAGATACAGACGATATGGACGACGCTGACGACACCAGCGACGCCGACGCCGACACTGCTCAGTTCCTAGTCGGCTTTGAATCAATACCTGTAGAGGATTTCTGGGACCCGGCAGAAATCTCCGATTTCAGCGACGAGGTCTTCTTCGGCTACTATCAAACTCGAGGTTTCCCGCATGGCTTTGGGGCAGCAACTCCACAGTCGACGACCGATAACGCTGCCGACATTGGCGCTGATCCGATCAATCATACTGATGCTACACACAACCGGGCAGCCGATCTCGTCTTAGACATCGAATCATTAACCGTGACCGACCCTGTACCAACGAATGTTTCTTCAAACGAGCCCGTACCAACGAATGGTTCTGCAGATGCGCCCGACTCTGCTGACGTCTTGGACAGCAAAGACGCTTCCTCTGTGTCATCCATACTTGAGAAGCAGTTGAAGGCTGAAAGGGAGAAGAACAAAGCTCTGGAAAAGGAATTGAGCTCAACACAGGAAGCGCTGAAGAAGGAAAAGTTGTACCGACAATGCGGTATGTGCTATGAAAGGCCTACCAACACTGTCACGAAATGCGGCCATATTTTTTGCGGCGAATGCGTTACAAGCTGGCAGAGGGAGCACCCTCAACCTTTTCAGACTCCATGTCCAATGCGTAGGAAACCAATGGGGAAAACGATAAGGATATTTACGGAATAGGAGTCTATTTGGGGTGCGCAACAAGAATCAGATTGTTTGTAACAAGTTGCAATTTGGCACAAAGCATGGGGACATTAAGAGAATAGGGTTTGACTTGATAGTGATGCATCATGCAACCATTTCATTATATACCGAAGCGGCCACAACTGTGTAGGATTCAATCAATCAATAGAGCAGAGTAATTGAGCTTCTGTGCTTGCATACTGTACTAGAGGTGGGTCCTGGAGTTCTGCCGTGTCAGACCGCCTGTAGTGGGGAGGTGTAGGGTGACGAGATTAGTGATTCTGCTACTCGGCAACCACCACAAAGCACTAGCGCCCCGCCAGTTCGGAGTAGAGCCCGTTGCTGCGAAAGCACGGAGGAGCTACGGGGAGGTGCAACTGGCTGTCTCCTTGCTCGACGGCGACACCCGGAAGCCGGTCATCATCGCGGACGGTGATGTGCCATCGCAATGGGGCAGCAACGGCTTCTTGTCCTTCCGCGCGACTACTACGGTGCCGATGTAGGAACGCCACTCCGAGGGCGCAAACCCGGATTCATGGTCGATGTTGAGATACGTGATCATTTGGTTGTCGAGGTCGGCCCGGTTTGCAGACTGAGTGCCGACACGGTCGCGGACCGAGTTGGTGTGTATTACACACAGGGAAATTGATGATATTGAGGGGGCCAAATAGGCTAGTTGTATTGATGATGATTACAGCGTTATGACTGTTGTTCTTGACTGCTTGACTGCTTGTGTGTTGCGTTGTCTGTGTTCGTCATGTCTGCCCTTCCGGGCCCCCAGAGGGTTCAGTATCAGTTTATTAACATGGATCACAGTCTAAGCTCGGTGGTAAGTCAATGACCGTTTACGTCAATATAACACTGTGACGCTGCCTAAGGCGAACCACAGCTCAGCTGCAGGAGCGAATCAAAATCGCAGCCGGTCTAGAACGTGGCCTCGTTTAAAACACCAGCAGCACCGGCCGGATGCATACGGCAGTCGCTATTATCACTTTGGTGTATGCTATCTATGCACAAGTTCGCACGGAGCTGGTAGCCGAGAGTAACATACAAGATACACGTTAGAGCGCGATATTGTCGCGATATATTCGAATGAACACGATGGGGCAACAGCCGTTCTCTCGGCCAGGCTAACGCAGGCATATGTGACACCAGATTTCAGATCATCGCCCCACGACGAGCCAAACCAAGAGCTAGCGACTGCTGTCCTGGTATCTTAGCTCGCCCACATGTCCACTTCCCCCACGTTAGCTCTGCGGCCCGAAATTGAAGTTGACGGTCCCTCCCGTCGTGTGGGTTCCCGGGATGACGTATTGGCCTGAGATGGGCCCGTGGAAAACCGGTCCTTGCGGGGCACTGGCTGCTCGGTCCTGCTGAGGTGTGCTGGCCGTGGGACTGTTGCGGCTCCCGGTGTCTTCACTGCCATCAGCCCTGTTCGCAAACATCAGAGACAAACTGCACTCACCGTCACCCGCAGACGCATTCGGAGCTTTGTCAGTTTGGATATAGCCTTCTAGAATTGCCTTACACGCCGAGGCCGCTGTCGCTGCTGCGAAACTCTGCCATCCCTTGTACTTGTGACAGTCCGCATAGTCGCACACTCCCTTGACCACAATGCAAGGAACCTCGTCCCAGACCCCAGCGCCCTCCATCTCGAACGCAATCACGCCTGCTTCCCTCGAGAGCCTGTCCCGGTCCGCAGCTGACTTTATTACGGTATCTCCTGATGCAATCGCCCCAACATGCACCGCCGGCCGCTGAGCAGTGTCGCTGCCATCGTGTTCTGACTGCCGTTTTGTTGGAGATCACAAGTGTGTGGCGACCAAGTCGGTGGCAAGGTGTGGAAGAAGGTGGAACTTTCCACAAGAGATCGTGCCTGTATATAAACAGTGGTTCCCTTACTGTACATTCAGGATGAACTAAGAAATATGAATCTTCTCATTTCAACACGTTTTGCCTGGAGCCGTTCCCTCGTGATAAGATGTTCGTCGTCGCATCCGAGATCCGCGCATGACGAGCTGAGCACCTCGTCGCAAACGGGGTCCAAGTCGCTGAAGCAATCGCCGCAGATACATGTCGGCGATACGTGGTGCTTGTGACGGTAGGTTGGCTCGAATAGCCTGTCTTCCGCCGGTCCGGGGTAGTCGAACTTGCCCCGACGCCTTGTCTGGGCGACCTTGGCCTGCAGCTGCCGAAGACACTGGGCAGTCCGTCGTTCGAGCTGGTCGATGACCCGGTCGGTCTCGAATACGGCGAGCAGATTGCGGACGTCTTTGTTCGGCCGGCCAAGATTGTCCTCGACGGTGTTCTTGCGTATAAACTTGTCTGGATACTGCCTGCCGAAATCGTACTGGATGACGGTCTTGCTGACGATTACATCGCCTAACAAAACTTCGCCGTCTCGGCCGCAAGGCATAGCTCCGCACACGCCGACGAGAAGGGCCAGTCGTAAGCCTCCGTAGCTCGATCGCATGCTGGCGGTCGTGCTGGCCGCGTTGGTCTTGCCCATGTGCGGCAGGAGGGCCAGAACGACATTGTATTTGCCCATACGGCCAGTCGTATAGTTGTTGGGGTCTCCGACTGCTCGTCCGTACCGATCGCCATCTTCGTCCCAGAACTCGTCGAAGATGTAGGAAACGGCGTCGTACTCGAGCGGTAGCGCGCAGATGATTGCGACCTCGAAGTCGTCGCGGCGAGAAGGTCGCGGAGAGGACATGATCGAAGAGGATAATGACAACCTGACCGTTTGGGGCCCTTCGAAGCAGCTCAACACATCTCGGCAGGCGGGCCTTTCCGTGTGCGTTGACAGATGTATTGGTGTTTGGACATGGTGGCTGTTCAGCTGTTCAGCTGCGGGGCCTCCAAAGTAGGGCTGTGCCAACAGCGCTTCGAGCAGGCAAGGCTGCACTTTGCACCTCCTCCTCCACAACGACACTTGCGAACGAGTTGTTACTCCCAGAGGGCTATGACCAGCGACAGCGGTGACGATGGACGCATCTACTCATTTTTATGATACGGTTAGTGGTCAAAACACCATCGCGGCCCCGCAAGCGTCCCATGGCGGATCGAACAACTTCCACTTCTATGGACCCAGCGCGCCAACCCCGGCAGCTGGCCGAAATCCACCCAAACCTCGCAAGCCATTCTCGACAGTGCCCTTCCCACCTGATCCCGACTTCGTCGACCGTCCCGATATCCTGAAATGGATGCATGACAAATGTGCCAGACCTGCTGCTCGTATCGCGCTTGTCGGTCTTGGCGGTATAGGGTAAGTCTAGATACGGCGCAACTATGTCACCCTCGACTCACGATCAAAGAAAATCGCAGCTTGCCATTCAATATGCGCATCAAGTGTGGCAGCGCTCGCCCAACACATGGGTCTTCTGGGTGCATGCTAGCACTCGAGGGCGATTTGAGGAGGCCTACCAGTCTATTGCGGACAGACTCGAACTGCCCCGGCGGAACGATCCCGATGTTAATGTCTTTCGGCTGGTACGCGAGTGGCTCCGAGTCGAGGAGAACGGGCCATGGGAGATGATCCTCGATAACGCTGATGATGCCGATGTCTTCTTCTCGACTGCACAGGATCGACTTACCTCGTTCTTACCGCAGAGCGGTAACGGATCTATCGTCGTTACATCGCGAAGCATGGATGTGGCAGAAAGACTGGTGGGTGGTCAGAGAAACATTTTTATCATACCAGCGATGAAAACCGAGGAAGCATGCCAACTGCTGCGGGAAAAAGTCCAAGTTGGTTATGACGCCGGAGCCGCGGCTGACTTAGTACGTGTTCTCAACTATATGCCTCTTGCGATTACACAGGCCGCCGCCTTCATCAACCGCCGGGCACCGCGAACGTCAATACCCGCATACCTAGATGAGTTCCGGAGGAGCGACAAGAAGAAGGCAAGCCTCCTCAACAAAGATGCAGGCGACCTCCGTCGAGATGAGTCCGCCTCCAATTCAGTCGTCATTACATGGCAGATTACCTTCGAGCAGATCCGTCGCGAGCGGCCATCAGCTGCCGACCTGCTCTCCTTCATGAGCTTCTTTAATCCCCAAGGAATCCCCAAGTTTGTGCTTCAAGCCTATGCATGCGACCATGGGGAAGACAACGAGGATGACCTTGACGAGGACCTTGAGACCCTTCGCGGATACTCATTGGTGGCGGTAACAGCCGATAGAGAAATATTCGAGATGCATGCCTTAGTGCAATTTTGCACTCGGGTGTGGCTATCGTCATTTGGCGATATGCAGCAGTGGGAGCGGGAGTTTCTGAAGGTGATGTCAGACCAGTATCCATTTGGGGAGTATGACAACTGGGCGGAATGTCAGAGGTTGGATCCCCACATTGAAGCGATTGTGAAAGAAGAGCCAGGTGATAGCAAAGACGTTTTGAAGTGGGCTAGGCTGCTTACCAATGCAGGATTGTATCGGTGGATGAAGGGGAGGTATGAGGAGGCCGAGGAGATGGACCGACGAGCTCTTGGGACGAGGGAGAGGGTTCTCGGCAGAGAGCATCCACACACGCTTGCGAGCGTCAGCAATCTCGCGTCGGTGCTGCGACGTCAGGGAAAGTACGAGGAGGCAGAGCAGATGAATCGACGAGCTCTCGAGTGGTATGAGAAGGTTCTTGGCAGAGAGCATCCATACACACTCGCAAGCGTCCACAATTTTGCGTTAGTGCTGCGATATCAAGGAAAGTACGAAGAGGCGGAGCAGGTGAACTGGCGAGCTCTAAAGGCGAGGGAGAAGGTGCTTGGCAGAGAGCATCCAGACACGCTCGCGAGCGTCCACAGTCTTGCGTTAGTGCTGCAATACCAGGGAAAGTACGAGGAGGCGGAGCAGATGAATCGACGTGCTCTGGATGCAAAAGAGAGGGTGTTCGGCAGAGAGCATCCAGACACGCTCGCGAGCCTCAGCAATCTTGTGTTTGCGCTGCAATCCCAGGGAAAGTATGAGGAGGCAGAGCAGATGAATCGACGTGCTCTGGATGCAAAAGAGAGGATACTTGGCAGAGAGCATCCAGATACACTCGCGAGCGTCAACCATCTTGCGTCGGCGCTGCAATACCAGGGAAAGTACGAGGAGGCGGAGCAGATGCATCGACAAGTTTTCGAGGGGTTTGAGAGTGTGCTCGGCAGAGAGCATCCACACACGCTTGCGAGCGTCATCCATCTTGCGTTGGCGCTGCAATCCCAGGGAAAGTACGAGGAGGCAGAGCAGATGAATCGACGAGCTCTGGATGCGAGCGAGAGGGTGCTCGGGAGAGAGCATCCAGATACACTCGCGAGCGTCGGCAATCTTGCGTCAGTGCTGGGATATCAGGGAAAGTACGAAGAGGCGGAGCAGATGAACCGGCGAGCTCTACAGGCAAGGGAGAGGGTACTCGGCAGAGAGCATCCACACACGCTCGCGAGCGTCTACAATCTTGCGTCAGTGCTGCAAAACCAGGGAAAGTACGAAGAGGCGGAGCAGATGCATCGACAAGTTTTCGAGTGGTATGAGAAGGTTCTTGGCAGAGAGCATCCACACACGCTTGCGAGCGTCAGCAATCTCGCGTCGGTGCTGCGACGTCAGGGAAAGTACGAGGAGGCAGAGCAGATGAATCGACGAGCTCTCGAGTGGTATGAGAAGGTTCTTGGCAGAGAGCATCCATACACACTCGCAAGCGTCCACAATTTTGCGTTAGTGCTGCGATATCAAGGAAAGTACGAAGAGGCGGAGCAGGTGAACTGGCGAGCTCTAAAGGCGAGGGAGAAGGTGCTTGGCAGAGAGCATCCAGACACGCTCGCGAGCGTCTACAATCTCGCATACCTCTTCCATAGACAGGCCTGCTTCTCACAGGCGGCTAAGCTCTATGAGAAGGCTTGTAGCGGTTATGTTCAAATTCTTGGATCTGATCACCCTACTACGAGAGCCTGTGTGGCACATTACTGTTCTTTGAGGGAAGACATGGCGAATGACCATGGACATTTATATAGAGCAGAGTGACTGCTTCAGCAGTGCCATTTGTCACTAGAAGCTGCTCAAACTTTATTATTTCTTCTAGTGCTTAGCATAGGATTATGGTGGAGAGCGGAGCACGACGATGACTACTCGCAATACGGTTATGGAGGAGAGCAAGCCGTCTGTTTGAACAGTGTATTTTTCCTCCATTGCAATTCATCTTATTACACTCGTATTTCGCAAATTGATTGTGCTAAATTGCATCTTTGCCCTAACAATAGGTCCTTTAAATGCGCGATGAAAAATCAACAAACTCCTGAGATCAGTGTGGCTAACAAACCGACCGACCCAGACTGGGCCCCTTCGGTCTGTCGGTCTGGGTTTGTCGAGGCTCCAGTCTGTCGGTCTAGGTCTGTCTGGGTTAGCAACCTGGTCGGTCTAGGTCTGATTATCTGATGCCCTCATTGGCTACCCTTGCCATGCCCCACTTAATTTGGCACTGCGAACTCGCTCCGCAAAAAGAGTGGGGGTGGTAAGGGTGCGTTAAGGCTGAGTCGGCCAATGGGAGCCCTGGAAACCCCTAACCCAGACCAACTCAGACCACCCAATCCGACCAGCAGCTCCGGTCTGTCGGTCTGATGACAATTGCCGGTCGGTCGGTCTGCGGTCTGAAGATGGTCTGTCAGACGGTCCGTCAGACGGTCGATCCCACACTGGGCCATCCATGCCCGTTTCCCTCATCACATGACAACTGCGAGGCTATAGAACCGGATAGTCACTTGTCGTAGGAGCAAGAAAGCTAGTTACTTGAGATTATAGTAGCAGGGGGCAGCAGGATTGGGCCAGCGGTGAGCGCTTGACGGTCATGGAGTTGTGGCGAAGATGAGTAGTCTGCGAGAGAGCTGAAGTTTGGCTGGCGATTCGGAGTCAACTCGATCTCTGAGTCTCCACCCGTTGGACTTGAGCTCTCCGAAAGTCGATAGCCCACAGTTGAGATTGTCATGTAGAGGAGCCACTGTGGGAACATCAACCTCTCATAGTGTCACACCAGTCAGGGATTAGATTTGCCGGTTCAAGATCGGGCAACCAGACACCTTGCGGCTGAATTTTCTCTGTTGTTTTCTCGATCATGTTCTCGAAAGCAGAACCCTGCGCTTCCACAACGAGATGCTGCTCTCAGGATCGACGCTGCAAGAACAGTCGAATTGAATTAGGCTTGCCTCATTTCCAGATATTCTAGACATGTTTTTGTATCGCGAAGACGCATTTACTTGAGCCGCAACCACGCTGATGCGCAATAACGGTTAAAGCCTGCTCGTACCATTGTTCGTGGAGGCCGCGTCATCCGTGGGTGGACCTGAACTGTCCAGAGCCGTTAATGACAGGTCTGAGCGTTTAGGCATCAAGGATGCACCACAGGAAGCGAAAGGAAATAAAGAAAGCTTCGTATCCCACTATTATCAACCTGCTTCTTCCCTTACCGACGTCTCACAGCCATCAATGTTCAGGAACTGTAATATCTCAAGCCCGCCTTTGACCAAGCCCGCCTTTGACCAAGCCCGCCTTTGACCAAGCCCGCCTTTGACCAAGCCCGCCGATTTCCCCCGAACCGGCGAACACTGACGTCCGAATACCGCCGAACGATTGAAGCCCTAGAACTACCATTATTCTAGGCCTAGAAACGTCCCACGACAACCGATATACCCAGACCGCCCCTATGCCAGGACTATCTCTGTCCTGTGACCGCTGGAGTCCCAGGGCTAGTTTGGTCCTAAGACTGAAGCCCTGGGACCATCACTGTCTCAGGACGGAGTCCATACCTTCCTATGCGAAGCCCCTACAGCTCGCTTTATGATTTACTGGTTGCTGTCTATCACTGGTGAGCCATGTCATCGTTGCACCCACGGCACACCAACTGTTTGTCTATCATCCTTGGCAGACTTAGTTCTGCCGTTTCTATTGCGTTACATCTTACTGTTGGCGTTTTCCCTTGACCATTTGTCGACGTCTCGTCCTTCGTAGTCGCCTCTGCTTTACTTGCTCTGCCGATCGTAAGGTGACACCATGGACCCTCTGGAAGTGGTCCAAATGTTGGAGTCGGAGATCTCTGCACTTGGGATGCTCACACCGGATCCTCTCGCCGCTCTGCTCAGCGCGCTCGCGCCTAATCAGATGCTGATCATCGAAGTGGTCGTTCATGACAGTTGGACGGCAGTATGTGAAGGCGCGCTCCTCCCGGGAGAGTCGCTCATCGCCAATGCAGTCAGGGCATTGCGCAGCATGCAGGAGTAGAGGAAATCGATCGGGGCTAGGCAACGATTTGTGTTCGGTTTCGAGAGGTTCGGTTTTTATGGCCAGGCATGCTTTCGCCCTTTGTTGAATGCGGTCACGCTTGACCGTCTCCCTCTTGTCGCAGAGAGCTACCATGAGATCGATGGCTTCGATCTTTCGCTGGAAGATCTGATCTTCAGTCCAGTCGTCGGGCTGGTGGCAGAAAATTGCCGCCAATCCAGCACGTTCGGGGATGGTGACATTGATGACGGGCTCTGCGTACTCCTCCTCCTCTTCTCCCCGAGCTTGTCTTTCAATATCCCAGGTTGGACGGTTATAAAAGTAATGCTCGCGGTATTGCCTAACCACCTGCCTGGAGCGGTGCGCACGCTTCTGGCTGATTTTTTCGGTGAGCTGTCGGATCTTTTCTTCGTCTATGTGGCCATCGATCCGGTAGTTACCCTGCTTGAGTTCTGCGCGCTGCTCTTCAAGCTTGACAATCTCCGGGTCCGGGGGGAGATTTGCCCACACCTCGTCAGGGACCATGTCGGCGGTGGCTCGAGGATCGCGCGTGAGACTCACGTGGGCGAACAGTCGGAACAGCTGGCTCTGCTTCTCTTCCTCCAGGAATGCATTCTGGAGATCGAAGTTGGCGATCTCGTTGAGATAGGCATTGTGAAATGTCGCAAATTGAGGGTCATGACGCATCATCTGGTCACGCACCGAATCTGGCGCGTCTCCTAGAAGAAAAAAGTCAGGTCAACATCGTTCGAGTGTCAAACAGTGACAAACGTGGGGGAACGCACCGTTGGCAGCATTGCTGGCGCCTCTCCGGGCAAACCTAGGGGTCCATCGTCTCTCGTGTCCTGAGTCGAGACTCTGGTCACCGATGTCGTCTCGGAGTTTGGAATACAGCATGGCCTCATCCTCGGAGAGGGTCGCCCCACGATACCGACGGAAGACCGGGATCTTCAACTTGGACGCCTTCCAGCGGAGCGGAGTGCTATCCTTGAAGGATGGCGGCTTCGATCCAAATATTGCCGCCGCGTCTGTCAAGCTCGGCGCGTCGAAGGCGTTGTCATGCAGGGCAAGGGCGAGGACTGTAGAAACAGCACAGAAGAGGAGCTTCCTAGTGGGGGTGAAGTAGAAGATGGTCCTACAAAGACTGTTAGTACGCGCAATCAGACGCATCACAGGGACCACCTACGGCCTAGGCTTATTATCGGCCCCCTTGTGGTGAATGAACTTGATGGCCATGGCCGGTATACACCGTCCGGTGACGGGGTGCCGCACGATCATCATTTGAATGTCTTCGTAGCAGAGGGCCTTGGGACGCCCGCGTCCCACCGTCTCCTGCGTGAGAAGGCTCTCAACCAGTTTGGAGTTCTTGTCAGGCGGCGGCGCCTGATCTTCCCCATCTTCCGAGGAAGACGACTGGACAACGTTGTGGCCAAAGAGTTCTTCCACGGAGCCGTCTTTCGGTTTCTTCCGCTCGCCATCCACCAGTTGCTATGCTTCCCTGCTCGTAGTCCAGATGTGGGCGGCTCGACGCATCGCGGGATCCCATCAGCTCGTCCCACTGCTGTTTGTAGATCTGCACGTACGTCGCGACGTCGACACCCTTTTCCCTGAGGTACAAGGCCGCTTGCGCCAGCGCCAGGGGCAGGCCGTCTAGCAGCTCGAGGAGCTGATCACAGTCCGAGCCTAGCACAAAGTAAGATTCCATCACGCTACAGTTGATGTATGAGACCACCAAGACTTACCGAGCTCGCTGCCATACCATCTCTTGAAAATAGCCTTGCTGAGGCCTAGATCAACCTTGGCCAACCGCCTGGACTCGCCAAGCTGCGCAAGGCGCGAAAGCCGCGTCGTGACCAGTATTGCCCCGTGGTCGCCGGGCAGGTAGCGTCTCAGATCGTATGCGCCTGTCACGCCGCCTTGCTCGTGGTCTTGGTCGATATTGTCGAAGATCAACAGCCAGTCGCCGTTGTCAGGCCGCGCAAGCCACTCCATCACGCCCGCGACGGCGGCATCGAGATCGTCCTTGCCGTGAGCCTCGGACTGGTTCCGGCCTGTGCTGGGAATTTGTCCTTTGGGAATCCGGTCCGAGAACGAAACTGCTCGACGGTAAGCAGGAAACGGAAGACTCCGGCACATGCACGTAGTCGCACGCTGGATGCCCCTCGCTGTCCCATGGCTGACATGCCACCAAAGACATGGTCCAAGCTGTAGATGGGCGAACCGGTCAGACGCGGGTGTCGGCTCTGGGTATGGTTAGGGGAGACGCCTCGTGCGACGGAGGCATTCGCAGCAGCAGTCATCTGCATCGCGCTGTCGTCCACATGGGTGACTGTGTTTGTCCACGGCCTCAGACGTGGCCGGCGCATTGGATGCAGCTGGAGTAGGTCCTGCGACGCTATTCTTACGAGCTCGGCTCTGGCCGGCGGCGATCCTGGTTGGCGGGGTCGCGGCGATTGCGGGGAATGACGACGGTGTCAAGGTCTGGTGCAGCTTCTGCTGGTGACGCAGCAGCAGATCACGGCGGGGGAAACAATCGTACGCATTCGGAACATCATGTATTATCCTAATTTGTGATACTACATACTATGGCCTGTGCAATAAGACAAACTAACGTGCCCACATTAGAGTTCGTCTTCCCGTGAGAGCTCTTCATCGAATAAGGCATGATAGTACGGTGGGAAAGAGTCGATGCTTATTATGACAAACTCGCCCGCAAAGATTGCATCTCGATAGCAAAGACGTCTTTCTCATGCTTCCATGGTATCAACTTCCTCTTCCTCTTTCGACTTTGACCATTGAGGTTGATAGATCCAAGAGGTTGTCGGGCATGGAACTCCGCCAGCATCAAGTCCACGATCATACATCTACCAGTGCGTTTATCGTAGAGCACATTGCGTGGCTCTGCATCGCGGTGGAGAACTCGGTGTTGATGCAATCGACCGAGCGCAGTGAGAATCTCGTTGGCGACACCTGTATTGACTTCTCCCAGTTCTTTCAAGACTGGTCCCCCGCCATAACTGAGGAACATGAAGTGCTCATACACGCCGCTATCGTAGTAGTAGGGCTTGATGAGGTCAACGATACCGAGACAGACCGGAACGAACTCCCCCTGGAGGTCCCGAAGATGATCGTATATCTTGGTTTCGTAGCGTAGATGCTTGGTATCCATGGCCTCTACGCCTTTCGCCACAAGCGTGTAGCCATGCGACGACAGGCGGAATTTGAAGAGGGATCCACGCGATCCTGATAGGTAGAGCGGAACACAATCAGCATCCTTTCCGCGATCAACTGCTAGTTGATCCCGCGTCAGACCAAGAAACTCGCGTCGGTTGATGTGCATATTGCCATGATCCGTGAAATTGGGACATTTCTCATCCATTGGGCCGCCGAACGCGAGCCCACGAAGACACTCGTGCGTGCAGTATGGTCGGTCTTGGATGTTTGGTCGCACGTTGGTGCCCTCTTGTGAGGCTGTGCTTCCATCATGCTCCTCCATCTCGCTCGACCCGACGTCTGTTGATGTGGTCAAGGCACCTCCGTGACTAACGGCTGGGTTTGGCGTTGGGCAAGGGCTCTCGTCGTCATCGTCATCGCTGTCGTCACCGCTTGGCTGCTGCGTCCCGTCCTGGGGTGGCAAGCATCGGGAGCGTGTCCGGATCGGAGAGCGTACAAACCCTTTCCAGCGTTGCGGCTTGTAAGGAGTTTCGCGTCGCGGCTTCCGATCTGTTGCCGGAATGCTCCGCAATACGTCCTCATACTCCACAGACCATGTATCGAGATGTTCAGTAGCGTCATGCCAGGATTGACGGGGTGGCGGCGATCGGATGGCCTGAAGCACAAAGGCAAAGGCTTGCGCAACAGCAGTACGATGGAGTCGAGTCTCGTCATCGTCTTGAACGTCTAGGCTTGGCACGCAGACGGAGTAGTAGACGCAGGAAGGGTCGTCCGGAATGTGGAGGAAAACATACGCCTCCCCAGTGCATACGTACCCATACTGGATGCCTTTACCTATCATGTAGGAGAAGAGCTGAGTCACGACAGCAGTGGTAAGTCGCCTCGCTGCGAATGGAAATCCCTCACCCTCCTGGTTGATCACATCACGATCCGGTTGGATCTCTGAGACCAGCCCTGTGACGATCTCGCCGCGTCTCAACTTATGTGGTGCCTTATACTCGATCGCGACCGCAGGGATATTTCGATCGTCAGAGGTCCGGTAGATGCAGAACTGATCCGCTCGGTTGCCCTTCCCCCGCGCCTTTCGACGCCGAGTTGTTCGGTCGGGTGGCCTGGAGCCAATAGACACTTGCTCCATGGATTCGGAGAGGGAGTCATCGGTAATACCGAGATTCGTGTGGCTTTCAAACGTCACCGTTCCATCGAGGCCGAGATGACTCCTCAGCAACGAATCGTTGTACGTCGCGTCCACCAGCTTCTGAACTGCGTTTTCCACAATGTCTCGCTCGCCGTTTCGGAGTCCAATCTCGCTGCTAACCGGGCGAAGCAGGGATCTCACATAATCCAGCTGGTGTCGGGATGGAAAGGCGGCTCGGGAAGAAAAGGAGGGACTGAAGGAAAGCTGATTCCAGACTTTTTCTTGTTCCCTTGCGAATGTGGTCCACGGGATGATTCGTCGAGGATAAATTCGGCCGGTCGGATTCGTCGTGTCCCCTTGTGTCGTCAAAGAACGGTCGGTTACCACTTTGATAGCAAGGCTGAGCGAATGGCATGTTTCAAGATATTGGTGGAGTGTCAACGGTAGCGATGCGCCCGCGCGTTCTTCGGCTTCTTCGCGTCGGCGTTGCTCTTCTTCGCGTCGTCGTTGCTCTTCTTCGCGTTGGTGTTGTTCCTCGAGGGCGCGACCTTCAGCTGCTTCGCGTCGTCGTTGCTCCTCTTCACGTCGTCGTTGCTCCTCTTCGCGTAGGCGCTGTTCTTCCCGTAGCTGCTTCCGCAGACTCTCAATTTCTTCCATGGAGGCTGATGGATTTGTGCGAGAGGAGGGCGGATGGTTGGCGTCGAGAACTGGTTTGTTGTGAGACGCCCGAAGAAGGGAAAACATCGGAACAACAGAAAACCTGCTGCCTAGGGAACCACGTCATAAGCGGATCAGTCCGCACAGCCACATCAATGACCGAAATGTGGGGCTTGCACACACTGGTGGCTGATTTTCAATTGTCACAGCTCAGTAGCAAGATGCCTTCCGCACGGGATTGTCAAGCTGGAGTTTCTGAGCGGGGAGCTGGAACTCGCAGGTAATCAGCCCCAAAACTTGTGCCAACCCATGTTGGGCGGAGCCGTCGCCTTTTGGAGGGTGTACCAGAAGCTACCCTCGTTTTCCTTCCAGAGATACTCGACTCAGATGGGTCAAGGCTGGAGGGCGTCATCCCCGAAACCTTGATAAATTTAGAAACCTCGTATCCATTCGCTATTTTCCATCAGTGGAGACCATGCCCCGGCTCTAGGCGGTTCCTGGACCAACGTCATCGTACATCCCTTTGACTGTCGTAAGGCAACACCTACGTACCGCACCCCACATGATCCCTGCCATGGCCGAGGTACATGGAGTGACTCTGAGCACCGGCGAAATCAACCCCGCCCAATTCACCATACAACTCATTCTGTGCGCCGCTGTCAGCAGTGTAATGTAGCTCCATGTAGAGCTGGAAATTGCTGGGACTTCTATCACCATATAAAATAGGTGGGGCTGAATGTACCTTTGATTTGCTTTACTCTAGTTGGCTAGATCCCCTGCTCGTGACCCAGGTGTCGCCTTACGACAGTCAAAGGGATTTCCTCTGCTGTTTTCTCGATCATGTTCTCGAAAGCAGAACCCTGCGTTTCCGCAACGAAATGCTGCTCTCAGGATCGACGCTGCAAGAACAGTCGAATTGAATTGGGCTTGCCTCATTTCCAGATATTCTCGACATGTTTTTGTGTCGCGAAGACGCATTTACTTGAGCCACAACTACGCTGATGCGCAATAACGGTTAAAGCCTGCTCGTACCATTGTTCGTGGAGGCCGCGTCATCCGTGGGTGGACTGTCCAGTGGCATCCAACGGCGGTGATACGATTGGAGTCTGGCGCACCCAAGGTGTAGCTGGGGATCAGGAGGGCGCATCAGCGGCAGATCCCGAGCCGTTCGCTCACCACTCCATTCCCCTCCAAAGTTCATCGGATCCGTGCCAGTTTGACATGTCGCCATTAAAGTCTGGCTCACCCTGAATCTGATACTCCTCTAGCATGTCGTGGACTTGAATCAAGTCGTTCCATTGAATGTGCCTGATTCTTCGCAATCCTTATCTTGGTTTGGGTCACCATACGTGCTCCGGAACACTCGATCGAGGGCGACAACGTACGGGCCTCGGCATGTCGGACTAGATCCTTCCGTCGCCTGAACGATGCCCCCCTGGGCTTTCCAGCGCAATCTGGATGAGGGCATATCCAAGAACGCGTTAGAGAATGGTTCGCAACAGGTTGGTTAGTTGGAGACCGTGAATTGGGACTCGAACGGGCGTCAATGAGGCGCGGTTGGGCAGAAGTGTGGTGCAGGCACGCTTGAAGCTCTTGCAAGCAGCTCTGTAGCACGTTGCTGAGGTAAGTTACGGGCTAGCCGTCTCGCCTGGAAGGTGGAGCACACATGAGAACATCAAGGTAAATAAGAGGGACCGAAGTAAGGAAAACTTCATAAAAAGATGGTCTACTCTTAAAAAGAACGGCCTCGAAGTTCACCAGGGATATGACGCCGCAGGGCACAAGGACCTGTTGCTAACAGAGTGCAACAGAGTGAAGCTTTCCATTGCCGGTGCAGGTGACAGCTGCCGATGTTGCGCGTAGTAGAAGTCAAGACTCGGTAAGAAAGGGGCGGCAGCGAACTGGTCAAGGAAGGATACCAGGTGGAGGGATTGAAGAGAGCATGACAACAGAGCTTGCCCAAGGAAAAGGCTGTGCGGTGAACAACAATTAAAGATAAATAAATAAAAAAAGTTAGGCTTGATCTTGACTCGTCATCTTCCTTGTCTCCTCCGTGGTGGTTTCCCAGAAAAGCTTCAGTTGAGAGAGAGTCCACGATCGTGAAGTCTCCCCAGTCGGCGGGGGAAGTGCTAAGCGCGGGTAATCGTGATCTGGGCTGGCCGTCCCTCCGCACGCCCTGTAGAGGAGAGTCGTAACCACTCGATATCAAGAGAGCAAGGAGCAGGGGCTGGCAACGACCTCGGCCTTATCCGGCATTGGAGGGCGTGAACAGGCGACCATTTCATGGCGCGCGATGGATGCGAATGGGTCAAATCATTTTGCATGTCTCCGGCCGGTGGAGGGTCAGTACAGATGCCGTTAATTTCAGAAGGCTCGGATCTGACTGGCCATCATAGTAGCGCCTGTCAGCCCCTGGCGCAAGTGCGGCGGTTCCTGGGCCGATCCTTCATTGTTGTGGGGCCATGGTAGCGCTCTGCGACCAGAGAGAAACGGTCAAGCACGACCGCATCCAACAGAGGGCCAAAGCCTGTCTGCTCATCAAAATCGAGCCACCTGAACATTCACCACGTCTCTTATCGCTTGCTTGAAATCGTCTTTTCCTAGCCCCAAAATGAGAACAGAGAGAGATTCTGTAGTGTTGGAGGTTTGACTCCTTGAGGATCGAGACCCAGCGGTGTGGGGTCTACCACTATTATGCCCGCACTTTCTGAACCCCGACGCGAATCTCGGAGGCAACGGGGCCCTGGAGGCATTCCGAAGAACCACCGAAGCCCCAGTGTATACGAGCTGCCCGACCACTCACCGGGAGGTACATAAACGATAACACTTCACCCGTTAATCCTCTCATATTAGGCCCCCGTTGCCTCCGACATTCGCGTCGCGGGGTTCAGAGAGTGTGGGCTGAAGAATGCTAGAGTCAGCGGTAGGGCATGTAGGCAGCCGTCGTAGGGTGGCGAGTGGATCTGGTTTCGGAAATGAAGTTGCAACAAGGGTACAACCAACAACGGTTCAACCAACAACGGTTCAACCAACAAGAGAACCACCGTTGACTCCAGGCGCGAAAAGGCTAAGATTGGCGGGTTTGCGCAGTACTTAAAAGTCGATGACTGCTAACTTAGACCAATCTCTCTTTTCCTGTAACCAGTACAATGAACGCTGCTACTCAGAGTCAGGCCTTGGTCAAGGCGGAACCACGGCAACAAACGCCTCCCAGAGTCATTCCGGCGCGACCACAGGGACAGCAACCGGAAACCACCAACACTACTAATGCATCCGCCAATGGCGCCTCCTCCAACCGAGACATGCAGGCCTTCATGGCCGTGGTGCAACGGATCTTTCTGCATTATCAACAGCAAATGATGAGGCAGCAATCCTCACTAAGCCAAGTCTATGCCTCTGCCAATGGCGCCTCCTGCAACCGAGACCTGCAGGTCTTCATGGCTGTGGCGCAACGGATCTTTCTGCAATATCAACAACACGGGATGAGGCAGCAATCCTCAAGAAGCCAAGTCTCACAGGGACAGCAACCACAAACTACCAACAGATCTACCAACAACACCAATAATGCCTCTGCCAATGACGCCTCCTCTGACCTAGCGCTGCGGGTCCTGTCGGCCATGCAACAGGCCTTGCGAGAACTTCTGATGAGCTGGCAATCCTCGGAAAGCCAAGTCTCACAGACAGCCGGCTGGCAAAGCTCAGAGAGAGTAGTCAATGGGCAGGCCCCTGTCCCGGCTCCAACTTCGACTCGAGATCCAGCCCTGTCCACTGCCACAGAAGTCCCAAATGCATCCCCTCCCACAACTGCAGCACGAGCTCCAGCCTTAGCGCCAGCTCCAAGTCGTCCGCCAGCCCCGGCTTCCGGTCCGGCTCCACGGGCACCGGTACTGGCCGCTCCTGCTCCTGCTCCCGTTCGTGCTCCCGCTCCTGCTCCCGCCCTAGCTCGGGCCCCGGCAAGGGCTCCAGGCCGGCTCCGACCCCACCCCAAAAACACCAGAAATGGCATCTCGGCACGACTTGACTCCAGGGCCGACCAAAGGCGGTCCAGAAGACAAGCCAGAGCCCGTAGACAAGCCTTGAGGCGAGTTTGGGAACATGATCTTCCAACGCGTGAGGCCACGCAATACGGAGAGGAACTCATTACCCTTAATGGCATGCTGACTGCTGTGTTTACTAACGGCCGGGGGGTTGAGCATTACTTCCGACCGCACGGCGAGAACGAGGGCATGTCGCTCGAGGATGGCTCGCTTGCGAATTACATGCTTCAGGAGCTTTTCCCTCACGACCCTCCTGGCAGTAAGAGGCCGATAATCCGAAGGTCTCGGGCAAGTTGAAGTCAAAGGGCAATCATGTGTTTGTCGATAGTTTATGTTTGGAGTAGAGTGTACCCTCGTCGAGGTAGATAAAGAGATGTATGTAAATCAAGGCTCATTTCTGTACTTTTGCTCTCAATTAGTGATACCGATGAAGAAACCTGTGGCCCGCCATGAGCTATTCCTATTCTTACAATTAGCAAAAGTTTGCCTACAAACTGGACGAATTGAGCAAGAAGACTGTTCAGGAGGCTCTGCCGTCTGCGCCATCGGATATGCAGTAGATTCTTGGTGGATGGAAAACGGATTGATGCGACATTCAAAACACACATCAAGACCTAATGTCACTTTAGAATTGCGTTGCGGGGGCGACCGCCATTGCCGCACTCGACACCCCGCTAGGGAGGATTTAAAAGTCAGACGTGATTATCCATAATGTTAGCGTGTGCACCAACATGGAGGAGAGTGAGGGGAGGACGACCACGAGCGATGATCTATCACACATACGTTAGCCAGACAGTGAAAATTTGACAGGATGAGGGGGTATATTTGATCGTTGACCGCGGTCAATCGTCGGCGTGATTTTGTGACATCCGAACCTAGATTCGCCGGACGCCCCCTACTCGGTTCTAATCCCGGCGTCGTCACTTGTTTGCCTGCGCACCACGACCTTCTGTACCAGTACTGTTTGTATTGGTGCAGCCATTTGGCCGAACTGGTCCACCATCTGTACAGGTCAATTAGTCTTTCCATACCAGTATGATATCTATACCAGCCCGCTGATTTCTCCTTACTAGTCTAACCATGCCAGTGTTTTGTTTCTCATACCAATCCAACCATACTAGTATGCTACGCGCACTAGCCATCGAAATTTTGCTGTACGGGACGGGTCGGAGTCTATAAGAGTTCACATCAATATCGGGCTCAAGCAAATCAAACTCAGGACTGCTGCATTGCAATCTTTGTCGATAGATGAGAATAATTCCAATCTTTCTGATTATGGAAGGACACACATTGATCCGAACGTGTTGCCTCATCTCGCCCGCAATCAACTTACCACGGATCGTGGACAAAACGCGGACTATATGCCGCTCTATCTATTAGAGTTACGAGGGTCGCTCTTCAAGGCCGGCTGTCATTACATGGCTACATAACTGTCGGCGAGGGTGCTGAAGAGAGAGAGATTACTCGATTATAGCCCAACATGGACTCTACGACCGCATTCGAGACCTTTGTGGCCATATTACTGTGACAGTGGTGTGCTCGTAAGTTCCAGCTATACAAGCTGCGTATCCTACACTATGACGCAGAGCCACGCAGTATATCATACTGTACGACTTACGCCATGACAAAGTGATAGTTGTGGACTTTGAGCGAGCAGAGGGCCTTCCCCGTGAACCTGTTAGGCTCATCAGCCCGAGTAGCTAAAACCGGAAGAGGAAATGTATGGCCAAGAAGCCGAACAAGGATGTATCTGCCCAAGAGCTGCAGTCTCTAAAGATGAGCGTGTCAAGGTGTGTCTACATCGGCCGGAGCGCTGCTTAATGAATGTTAGACAGTAATGATCTTCACTCTTGCGCATAAGGGTAGTAAGACTGGATCAAACGACATGGAGAGCAAAGAGTTGATCGATTTGTACTCCCCTGGATCAGACCCATGACGAGCCGCATGCCTAGA